GTTCGATTTGACGTGGAATGCCCCATAGCATCCTTTGGCGCTTATGGACGATCTTGCACCAATTTGGTGAAGTGATATGAACTGTAACGTCGGAGTAGGAGTCGAGAGTCGCAGTCGGAGTCGGAATCGGTATGATGAATGGGGAATCTGAGTCGGAGTCGGAGTTAACCCGCGCCCCACTGGGGTCTGTGTATAACACGCCCTACTGGGGGGGGGGGGGGCTATTCATAGCCCCCCCTCCTAACTCCGAAACTACTGGGCCGATCGTCAAAATTCAAACGGCGTCTGATAGCCCCGGAAAAACTGTCGAGCGAAACCTAATTTCATTGACCTCGAGGTCACCGATGACGTCACAGGTCAGGTCAAAGTAAAAATTATTAGCACTTTGGCTTGTTCACATTTTGGGCTCTGGCCGCCGTCTTACAAGTCAGATCAGGCTCATTTTTGGTTTCCACACTCATGAACAGATGCTCTAGATACCTTGAGGGTACCAAACTTGTACTTTGATTTTCAGGTCAGGGTCAGGTCATCACAGGTCACGAAAATATTATATCATGCGTCGGTCACGTGACACATGTTTTATGGTCCATTTAGGCCATAGATTTCGAATTTGATGTCGTCTGTGTCATTCGAGGTCATTTTGAGTCGAATTTAGCTTAGGTCAGGTCACTTTCAGGTCAAAAAAGGTCAAATTTTGAAGTTAAAATTTTTCAACAAAAAAGGTGTCTATTGGATGCAGTTTGAGCTCAGGAACACGATGGTGCCATTTATATTGGTGTACGATGTCAAATACGTACTGAAAAAGTGATTTGAAAAATTAATAACTGTGAATTTTTTGCAATAATGCGTATAACTTGGCCATTTTTGAAGATATTTAGCTAAAACTTGCTAGAGTTAGTCATAATCATGCGTTCTGTCACATATATTCCGGTTTTTTCGAAAAGTAAAAAACTTTTTGAAAAAATATAAAAATATAAATTTTGAATATTATTATATAAAATTTTCGAAATTTTCAAAATTTTGAAAATCCGAGATAGCAGTTTGATAGCGCGGTCAATTTTGAGTCCTTTCATGCAAAGAAATTGGATCTAGCTTAAAAACTGAGCTCTTGGGAGCGATTGCCGTGGTTCAATGTTTTGCGTCGAAATCGGACGAACATGACGTCACTCTGACGTCATTTCCGGCCGACCTATGGTAGCTACGAAGTTCAAATTTTGACACAAGGTGTCAAATTGATGCAGCCGAAGGTACTGAAAGTTTGGCGTCGATACGTCAAGCGGTTTGGAAGTTATTGCAGAAAAACGGGAGGGGGGCTAGAAATAGCCCCCCCAGTGGGGCGCGGGTTAAGAGTCGTATTTTGGACCCAAAATTGCAGTGGTTGGTCTAAGCAGTCGAAAGTAGGATTTTTTCTCGGCTTGACTACGACTCGAGTTACCGTGAGTTGCGTAGGTCCATGTGGCATTCCTGTCATGGACTTGAAGTTTATAAGTCCTCTAAAAAGTTTTCGCAAAGTTTCAGCAATTTATTACTTGCTCAAGCGAGTTTCAGTACTGCTTTGGTGACTTCATGCTATCATGTTTGCGTTCATTAATTTATAACTACATTTATTTTCTTGAATCATATTTAGTAAAAGATTATTGGTATAAATACGCAGCAATAAACCATAAACATGCGTGAGCCAGAAACAATCAAGCAACCGAAGACAAATCATAATATTTGTATTTGGGTATTTACTATTCTATACTTCAACTTGAACAAGATGAGCGCATAATTACGCGTTACATTAGTGACACTTCTGTACCTCTCAGTGATTCATTGACTGTTGGTACGCTTGGTAGCTGCTGTTCTGCCATCCATGCCCAACAAGTTCAACGACACTGGAGATGTGGCTAAAGTAATTGGCAATGCGGTTTATGGCTGTTGACGCCGTCATGGCTGGAACGAATTTCCGGATAACTCCGGAATGAATGATTCAGCATTAAAACTGGATTTTATGACGTCTCCCTGGCCGTGTGTTATCTTCATAATACGGCACGCTTCATATGTAATGCTATAACTTTGTGAGCCATGTTGATTGATTATGTTTTGGGTTAGGGTATCGGTAATAACATTAACAGAACATATTAATAATGCAAGACAAGTCATAATAACAGTTTGAAAAGAAGGTAAGATAAATAACCAATCTGCAGCCCATCACAAAAACTGATTACTGAAAAAGTACTGGCAAGCTGATAAATTACTCGCAATAACTCGGCGCCAACCGCAGAGCGCCACATCACCGTCTAATCAGGGTAGTGGCACGCACCGTGCGCCGTCCCGATTCGCCGGTGCACGCACTGTGCGCCGGCGTGCCCTGGGTGCCCTGGGTGCCCCGAGCGACCCGGGGCGGTGCCGTGACTGCGGGCGGGCGCCGCACGCTCCGACGCTCGTCTTGGTGTCGCCTGCCACGCTCCGAATACAGCTCGGCGAATAACGGGTCCCCGCAGCCACCGCCACTGCCGCCGGCGGTGTCGGGTCCGACGGCAGACCGCCCGGTCCTCGGGAGTCTGAGTCACTGACTCACTGAGTGCCCAACGAGTCGGGGAGGCACCCAGCTGACCAGTGCACTGGTCACGGTACGGTACAACTGTGACTCCCTTTGTATCCGACTCGGTGTGTACCTACTGAGTCCTATTGAGAGTTACAGCCTGGAACGGCCTCACATGTCGGCAGGGCCACTTGACTGCGCATTCGATAACCATAACAGGAAATTTAGTTAGTCAACCGGCAGATACTAATTATTTGATAAAAGAACATCTTCGAAAAGGTTCGTTGCATCAAATGGCTTTTTTATTCAACAAGAAAGGCATGGACATAAGCGATGGACAAAAACACGAACAAAGGCACTCCGGCCAGAACACATTCGTCACACTCAAAATCTTCAACATGTAATTTAAAACAAGAACCAAGCAATTGCAGCCCGGAAACCGCTTCAAGGCGTGTTCAATTTGTTGTCTGACAATTCTATTGTCGACACCTTCGTCCATTTGTTCTCACCCGTCTCCCGTTATTATTGCTCCGTTTTGAACATTCGATTAGTCCCGGACACCAGAGAAGGTCCGTTACGGGCGCCGCCGGGGCATTCAGCGGTCCTCAGAGGTCAGGTGTGGGCGGGGGAGTCACACCTTCCGATACCGGTGGCGACAGGGGCCGGCGCGCGTGAGCAGCTCCAGTCAGCGGCGCCGGCCGGACCGCGCCGTTTTTGCCGCGGCCGACCCGCGCTGCTGATGAGCCATTCGTGACCGGCGGCGGGCAGTTTTGGCGCCGGTTTCCTGGCCGTGGGAGAACCCCTGAAGGAGGGGGAAGGGGCGGCTGCCGGTGACGCGTCGGAACTAAATGGCCGTCGGCGGCAGCCAGCCACTTTGCAGGTCCAGTGGCTGGTCAGCGCTGGCCCTCAATGCAGCGCCGACCTGCGCGGGTAGATCTCCGATCAGAAATGTCGTCTATGATATCATACAACAACAACAACAACAACAACAACAATCACAAAACACATTTATTAAACATAAAAAGGAAATAAGCAAATGTAAGTCCAGGTGGTGGTACAAAAGCTAATGCTTAACTCGAGGCACCACCACCTGGCAACATAAACAGAATAAATGAATGTGGTCTAATCCAGGGCCGCGGAGGTCGGCTGTCGCGGCAATTAGCGGTGATAAGTGGTGATGGGCGGGCCAGCGCCAGTCCACCGAGATGGGGCTATATCAGTCTGGATCATGATGATGGTCACACACACATTCACATATCAATATAGCCAAACACATGTCGAACAGCAGCCATGATGCTAGCGCAGCTAGACGCCCAGATCGGCGCCGCTAGTGGCTCACACGCGTTTAACCTGTGGTCGCACGGAGGGCTCTCTCATGGTTCCTTCTGCTGATATGGTCGAGAAGACATTCCATTCTGACTAATTACAGACTGCATTTCCTGCTAACGCGCCGTGCCTATTTGTCACGGAAAGTGAAGACGATGACAGCCAAACAAAGTGGTGCGTGAGAGATGCTATGCCTGGTTAATCTGAGAAACATGACAAAACATTGCCAACCGCTCCGATTCAAAAGCCCGGAAAATTAGTCTGAACGCTTCTCGCATTTCCGAAGCTGGCGTAAGTGCCCGAGGTGTCATTTCACGTCATGGCGCACATTTTCTCACAGTTTTCCGGGTTTGTGTTCACACATTAATGGAGTTTTTGTTGGCCCAGACGGACGAGCTATGGTGCATTGTTCTATCCTTTCGTTTAGTTGCCGTAGTGAGAACACGGACCCACTTCTGAAGGCTGAAGCCACTTTGATTATTATAGCCTGACTTTATTATTAAATCAGTTGAGACAACTTCAACAATTGAGACACCTTCAACTTTAAATCAGTTGCGACAGCTTATGCCTTATCATACATTTAAATTTTCATTTCCTTGTTTCGTGCAGGCTTCAACGGCATGCAAATATGCGTCTTATGCGTCGTCACTTTTGTATTCTCATCAAAACAGGGAATATCTGTCTTAAAGTTTTATCAAATAGGATTGACGCACTTCAGTAAGTTTGTGGTTGAACTGTTGCGCAATTATTAGCCGTTTTCACGACGGGCTATCCGGCGAATGCACCTGATTTGACCAAATCTGCACCTAATCTCTTTTACAGCAAATATCTTTATTTTATGAATTTATTTCAGTGTTTTAATCGATGACACTCTCTGATAATATGACAAGGCAGGCAAATAAGCAAATAGTGCAACCTTAGCTGATAGCTACTAAGAGACACACTGAACCTGATTTGATCAAATCTGCACCTGATCTGCACCAGATGTGCACCAAATGTGTACCAGATGGCCGTCGTGAAAACGGCTAATGTATAGTCCATTTATCTTATTTGTTCAACCGTTCACCGCAATTGTTAGGCGGAAAGGACATTTCAGCATATGCTTTTGTCCTTGTGTTTTGACTAAATTGATGTTGCTTTGTTCCAGCTACTGACAAGATGCTGCCAAGGAAGCGCCTGTTTGCATTGCTGGTGGTCCTCCAGGCTGTTCAGGTATGTGCACTGCAATGGGCCGGGTCGGTTGCTGGTTATCATAGCAATGTGTGGAGCTTGGATCATTGGCTTTTGGACCTTTGGCGGCATGCAATTAACTTGCTGATATGGTTGATATTTAACATTGCCTTGTAATTTTGCATTTTGTGTCATTATTTTGCGTTACTTATTAAAAAATGGATCAAATATCTATCTCAATGTTTGTAATTTGTTCCATTGTATTTTGCCTTGGAGTTGTATTTTTCAGCTCTAAGCTTAAGATGATACTTCAACCACACTGGAGCTTAGTCAAACATTAAACATTTTCATCGGTCGGTATTTGGTGCCCAGGCAGCGTTCTCGGTCGGTCGTTCACTCTTTAATTGGCAGCTCGCTCGCTGAAGCGCACCTGACGAGCATGTCGCGAGCCCCGGCGGGTGGCCCCCGTGTATTTAGTCGCCAGGACGGACGCTTTTAGGGGGCACCCCTGGACGGTGCAACAATAACGAGCGCTTCTGCCAACCATCGCGGTGCACCCCTCGAAGCTCACGCGACCGAGACATCAGACGACAAGCTCAGCACAAAGACCTGACATTTGTGGAAAATGATGTCATTTTGTTTATGATAAATAATGGCTAATCATACTTAGTGAGGTTGCAATAGCTTCTTGAGCTCCTAAATATAGCCTTGGATGTACTGCAGCTCCCAGTTTGGCCAATCTGTTTTATGTCTACGAGCGTCATTTGAAAATGCACGAAAGTATCAAAATAGATAGCACTAGGGTGACCCGCGTGCTCCGCAACGCGAAAAGGGGTATTTTCGATTGACGGGTGTTCGGTTGTTCTTGTGTCGGTTGGGTTATCTATCCATTTCGGTCGATTGCTTTTTGACGGCTAAACGTTTTGGTTTGTGGAAAAAATATCCACCGCATCGAGGTGCCCGTGTCTGATAAGCATGCTTTCCACTTCAGAATCTGTCAAATGTGCTTTATAATTGAGGTGCGTAGTTTTAAGACAAATGAAAGGCGTAGATAATTTTCGCTAAAAATGATTTTGCAGAGGTTTGAAACATTTATATTTTTAAGAATACTGTTGCTTGACATGCAAACGTGATGATTGGATCTTGGAGAGAATTGAATGCTCTTTCCAATGATAGCATTTTCAATTGTCAAACGTATCAGGTTAAGCAGCAAAATCCGTGTAATTATTTAGTGGCACATTTTGGACAAATACCATTTAATTCAGCGATTTTTTCCACATTGTTTTTGATCAATTAGCTTTTCATAATTTTTCCATGAGAGACGGTACATTTTTATTGCTAATAGGCGCTGTTTCAACTCATTCTGTCTGACGATCACCTGAAATTAATATAAAATCCAAAATCCGTCCAAAACGTCCATTTTTCAAAAGAAAGTGTCCTCCCCGGTGCACGTGGCGCGTGCCAACCCCTGCACCGCACACCATTCGATAGCCCGTTCGATTCTCTACACGATGCTGTTTTCCCCGTACCGGTCGGGTCCACGGTTACCGAGATATTGCACCGGGACCGGACCCGTGTCGGGCAAATTTGGCTGTTTTCGCCCGTTTTGGCCAGCCGATTAATACATGTAAAGTCTATGACGCGAATTTGCACTTTCTGGGCACGCGCCACGCGCTCGCTATCGATCCGATCGAGCTGAGACCCATCAAAGGCACGTTGTCCATCCTTGTTCTATGAGTTGCGCAAACTTCAGCGCGGTAGGTGCAACGGTGTGACCTGTAACCCGCGCTACGTAGCACCATGTCGCGACCTTCGTAATAGACAGGAACTACGTCACCTCAAATAGTAATATAGACAAGCGGCTGCGCCACTTGCTTTGCTGCGTGGTCATAAAATGCGGCACCAGCCAATTTGCTTTCGAATGGTGTTCGATTCAAATCGATGCGTCGTCTAGAAGCATAAATATGGACAGAAATGTGAAGAGAATTTAAAAAAGAACTGTTCTGAGGACTTCGTTGGATGAAATTTGGGTGATACGGGGTCAAGACGGGTCGAGGGGGTCACCCCCGGTCACTTTGGGTCAGGCCAGGTCACATAGGTCACCGACTCACCTCCCGTCCCATGGGATCAGCCCGGGCCACACTTCTATTTTTGCCTCCACCACTACCCCTACCCCTACCACTGCCCCTACCCCTACCCCTACCACTACCTCTACCACTACCCCTACCCCTACATCTACCCCTACCCCTACCACTACCACTACCGCTACCCCTACCCCTACCACTACCCCCCTACCACTACATCTACCACTACCACTACCACTACCCCTACCCATACCACTACCCCTACCCCTACCACTACTCCTACCCATACTCCTACCCCTACCACTACTCCTACCCATACTCCTACCCCTACCACTACCCTACCAGTGACTACCACTACCCCTACTACTACCCCTACTACTACCCCTACCACTACCCCTACCCCTACTACTACTCGTACCACTACCCCTACCCCTACCCCTACCACTACCCTACCCCTACCACTACCCCTACTCCTACCCCTACCCCTACCCCTACCCCTACCAACACCGCTGGGTCATGTCAGGTCACATAATAATTGGATCCAATCAGTACTAAAATATCAGACTTAAAGTGTTCCCAGCCCTGCCCCTATTCGTGCCATTCCATTACGTTTAATCGTATTTGTCGGAAATGACGCCTTGTGGCATATGTGGCGCATTGCGACAAACGCGGCGCATTTTCACCCGGCGATTGAGCATGCATCTTGGCACCAAATTGTACCCATATCGGACTATATTTGACAAAACTGTGCGATTTGCGGCAAAAATGACGCCTTGTCACCAAAGTGGCGCCTTGCGGCAAACTCGGTGCATTTTTTAACTCGTATCACAAACTGTTCCTATTGAACGAAAATCAACACATTCTTTCGCCACCATTTATCAAAATCAATTTCACCATCCGCCAATGCGAGGCACCCGCCACCGATCGGCATGCATTTAGTTCACAAAGTTTGTCGACCCCGGCTCTCAATGAAGATATAAGAACCGATCAAAATTTCATTGGCGTTCTTCCGGCGCGCCCCACGCGCAAACCGTGCACCCCAGCGAGTCGGAACCTAGAAAAGGCACTGACCCGCTCTGTCACCTATAAGGTGTGCAAATTTCAACCCCCTACGATATACCGTCTGCCCTGTAGGCCGGCTAAATTGAACCCACTACACGGCGTGGCGGACAAACAAACAGACAGATGGATCCTGTTCAAATAGTAGTATAGACAAGCGGCTGCGCCACTTGCTTTGCTGCGTGGTGAGCAAATGCGAAAGCAAATTGAAAAAAACGCCCGTCCGCCGACGAACGCAAACATCGCACAAACAAAAATAAAAAACGACCGCCTCCAACCGCGAACAACACCGCAAACGCCGCAAAAAATGAAAACCGCCCGCATCCCGCGCCCGCCCGCCGCCAACCGCAAACGCCGCAAAAAAATTAAAACCGCCCGCATCGCGCGCCCGCCCGCCACCAAACGCAAACGCCGCAACAAATGAAAACCGCCCGCATCGCGCGCCCGCCCGCCACCAAACGCAAACGCCGCAAAAAATGAAAACCGCCCGCATCCCGCGCCCGCCCGCCGCCAACCGCAAACGCCGCAAAAAAGTTAAAACCGCCCGCATCGCGCGCCCGCCCGCCACCAAACGCAAACGCCGCAACAAATGAAAACCGCCCGCATCGCGCGCCCGCCCGCCACCAAACGCAAACGCCGCAAAAATGAAAACCGCCCGCATCCCGCGCCCGCCCGCCGCCAACCGCAAACGCCGCAAAAAAAAATGCCCGCATCGCGCGCCCGCCCGCCACCAAACGCAAACGCCGCAACAAATGAAAACCGCCCGCATCGCGCGCCCGCCCGCCGCCAACCGCAAATGCTGTAAAACTGAAAACCGCCCGCATCGCGCGACCGCCCTCCGCCAACCGCAAACGCCGCAAAAAACGCCCGTACCTCTACCCCTACCAACACCACTGGGTCACGTCAGGTCACGGACTAAGTTAATATAATAATAAGTACTAAAAATAAGACTTGAAGTGTTCCCAGCCCTGCTCCTATTCGTGCCATTCCATTACGCTTAATCGTATTTGTCGGAAATGGCGCTTTGTGGCGTATGTGGCGCATTGTGACAAACGCGGCGCATTTTCACCCGGCGATTTACCATGCATCTTGGCACCAAATTGCACCCATATCGGACTACATTTGACAAAACTGTGCGATTTGCGGCAAAAATGACGCCCTGAGATAATTGTGGCGCATTGCGGCAAACGCGGTGCATTTGTAAACTCTTATCACAAACTGTTTCCATCGAACGAAAATTAACACATTTTTCGCCACTTTTCATTCAAATTAATAACTTGCCGATCCGCCAATGCGAGGCACTCGCCACCGATCGGCATGCATTTAGCTCACAAGTTTGTCGACCCCGGCTCTCAATGAAGATCTACGAACCGATCAAAATTTGATTGGCGATCTTCCGGCGCCCGCCACGCGCGAACCGTGCACCCCAGCGAGCCGAAACCTAGAAAAGGCGCTGACCCGGTCTGTCACCTAGAAGGTGTGCAAATTTCAACCCCCTACGATATACCGTCTGCCCTGTAGGCCGGCTAAATTGAACCCACTACACGGCGTGGCGGACAGACAAACAGACAGATGGATCCTGTTTAAATAGTAATATAGACAAGCGGCTGCGCCACTTGCTTTGCTGCGTGGTGAGCAAATGCGAAAGCAACTTGAAAAAACGCCCGTCCGCCGACGAACGCAAACACCGCAAAACGCGCAAAACGCACGTCTTAAACGCGAACGCAAACGTCGCAAAAAATCGCTCAACCGCCGCAAACCGCAAAACAAAAACACAAAAAACGCAAAAAAGACGCCCGCATCGCACGCGCCCTAACTGCCAACCGCAAACGCCTAAAAACGCCCGCACGCCGACAAACGCAAACACCGCACAAACAAAAATAAAAACCGACCGCCTCCAACCGCAAAACAACACCGCAAACGCCGCAAAAAAATGAAAACCGCCCGCATCCCGCGCCCGCCCGCCGCCAACCGCAAACGCAGCAAAAAAAACGACCGCCTCCAACCGCAAACAACACCGCAAACGCCGCAAAAATGAAAACCGCGCGCATCCCGCGCCCGCCCGCTGCCAACCGCAAACGCCGCAAAAAGAAATTAAACCGCCCGCATCACGCGCCCGCCCGCCACCAAACGCAAACGCCGCAAAAATGAAAACCGCCCGCATCCCGCGCCCGCCCGCCGCCAACCGCAATCACCGCAAAAAAACGACCGCCTCCAACCGCGAACAACACCGCAAACACCGCAAAAAATGAAAACCGCCCGCATCCCGCGCCCGCCCGCCGCCAACCGCAAACGCCCCCCCCCCAAAAAAAAATAAAACCGCCCGCATCGCGCGCCCGCCCGCCACCAAACGCAAACGCCGCAACAAATGAAAACCGCCCGCATCGCGCGCCCGCCCGCCGCCAACCGCAAACGCTGCAAAACTGAAAACCGCCCGCACCGCGCGCCCGCCCTCCGCCAACCGCAAACGCCGAAAAAAAACGCCCGTACCTCTACCCCTACCAATACCACTGGGCCATGTCAGGTCACGGACTAAGTTAATATAATAATAAGTACTAAAAATCAGACTTAAGGTGTTCCTAGCCCTGCCCCTATTCGTGCCATTCCATTTCGCTTAATCGTATTTGCCGGAAATGGCGCATTGTGACAAATGTGGCGCATTGCGGCAAATGCGGCGCATTTTCACCCGTCGATTGAGCATGCATCTTGGCACCAAATTGTACCCATATCGGACTATATTTGACAAAACTGTGCGATTTGCGGCAAAAATGACGCCTTGGGACAGATGTGGCGCATTGCGGCAAACGCGGTGCATTTTTATACGTGTATCACAAACTGCTCCCATTGAAAGAAAATCAACACAATCTCTCGCCACTATTTATTCAAATTAAAACTTGCCCATCCGCCAATGCGAGGCACCCGCCACCGATCGGCATGCATTTAGTCCGCAAAGTTTGTCGACCCCAGCTCTCAATGAAGATATAAGAACCGATCAAAATTTCATTGGCGTTCTTCCGGCGCCCGCCACTTGCTTTGCTGCGTGGTAGGAAAAAATTGCGGCACCAGCCAATTTGCTTTCGAATGGTGTTTGATTCATGTCGATGTGTCGTCTAGAAGCATTGATATGAACGGAAATGTGAAGAGAATTTAGAAAAGAACTGTTCTGAGGGCGTTTTTGGATGAAATTTGGGTGATACGGGGTCAAGACGGGTCAAAGGGGTCAGCCCCGGTCACTTTGGGTCAGGCCAGGTCACATAGGTCACCTTTCGTCCGCTGGGATCAGCCCGGGCCACTGTTCTGCTTTTGTCTCCACCACTACCCCTACCCCTACCCCTACCACTACCCCTACCCCTACCACTACTCCTACCACTACCCCTACCCCTACCACTACATCTACCCCTACCCCTACCACTACTACTACCCATACCCCTACCCCTACCACTACCCCTACCACTACCCGTACTACTACACCTACTACTACCCCTACCACTATCCCTACCCCTACTACTACTCCTACCACTACCCCTACCCCTACCACTACACTACCCCTACCACTACCCCTACCACTACATCTACCCCCACCCCTACCACTACTACTACCCATACTCCTACCCCTACCACTACCCCTACCACTACCCCTACTACTACCCCTACTACTACCCCTACCACTACTACTACCCCTACCACTACCCCTACCCCTACTACTACTCCTACCACTACCCCTATCCCTACCCTACCCCTACCCCTACCCCTACCCCTACCACTACCCCTACCCCTACCCCTACCAACACCGCTGGGTCATGTCAGGTCACAGAATAATTGGATCCAATCAGTACTAAAATATCAGACTTAAAGTGTTCCCAGCCCTGCTCCTATTCGTGCCATTGCATTACCCCTAATCGATTTTGTCGGAAATGGCGCTTTGTGGCAAATGTGGCGCATTGCGGCAAACGCGGCGCATTTTCACCCGGCGATTTACCATGCATCTTGGCACCAAATTGCACCCACATCGGACCATATTTGACAAAACTGTGCGATTTGCGGCAAAAATGACGCCCTGAGATAATTGTGGCGCATTGCGGCAAACGCGGTGCATTTGCAAATTCCTATCACAAACTGTACCCATTAAGCGACAATCAACACATTTTCTCGCCACTTTTCATTCAAATTAATAACTTGCCGATCCGCCAATGCGAGGCACCCGCCGCCGATCGGCATGCATTTAGTCCACAAAGTTTGTCGACCCCGGCTCTCAATGAAGATCTACGAACCGATCAAAATTCCATTGGCGTTCTTCCAGCGCGCCCCACGCGCGAACCGTGCACCCCAGTGAGTCGAAACCTAGAAAAGGCGCTGACCCGCTCTGTCACCTAGAAGGTGTGCAAATTTCAACCCCCTACGATATACCGTCTGCCCTGTAGGCCGGCTAAATTGAACCCACTACACGGCGTGGCGGACAGACAGACAAACAGACGGATCCTGTTCAAATAGTAATATAGATTACGAGTACACAAATGCAATTTACATTTATGCCTACCACGACCTTGACTGCCATGACTGTCGGCTCGGCACGGGGTGGTTGACCCTGCAGGGCCTCCTGGGCGCCGTTGGTTTTAGTTATCATTTTGCAATCAGCCCGCCCCATTGTCCTGAATCGCAGCCGCCAGCCGGAACCCTCTGTAAGTGCCACGCGACCCGGGCTGTCCGATGAGCACCTCGTCACGTGATCAGCACCATCACAAAGGTTACATGTCATGTGACTCCGCGACCGTCTCCGGAGGCGGATGTCACGTGAGTTCCGTCATGGCCTTTTCGCGAGCGCGTAATGAACTAAGCGCGGCCACTGAGCATGATGAAAAGGACGTAAATAATCACTGGCGGACGCGTCCCGGTGGGCTGTCGGCCGCGACGGCTCCCTCCCTCCCCTCCCTCCCCTCCGCCGTCAGCCAGTGACCCCTGGCACTCGGCTGGCTGTGGTCACGTGACCGGCCGCCCGGAACGTCTCTGGCTCATAGGCCGGGAGTACGTGGTTAGGGCCGACCGCACCCGACTGTCTGCGGAGCCGCGATCCTCCACAGGTGGCATTCGGAGACCGTTTGGCACGTGGCTGTCTCTCGGTTCAGCGAGCTTTGAGTCATAAATGTGACAGATGGGCTGTTTCGGGCTTGGCACCTTCATTTTCAATCCATTCCGTTGGTTTTAATGATGTAGTTAGAGAAATGAAGATAATGGTCCAGAAAGCTTTCCATTTCACTAGCAACGAGAACCAAAACGAGAACCGCTCATTTAACTAGATGCTAGTAATGCGCCATCTGGTGTGTCGTCCAACATATCACCATCAGATTAGTTATTGAGCATTGAACCGTCTATGGAGTGGGAGGCCACTACGCAACACTTCGGAAGCCGGCTGAGTGACCACCAACGTCCCAACACTCTTCTCTTTGCGTCTGAACCATCAGGGGCCCTGGTAGGCGATCATTGACACACCGCTCCCACGTTTGATCACGGTTATTGCCGCTGACAATGACACTGATCTGCGCAAGGTCGTCCTGGACCCGCCTTCACCAGCCGGTGGGAGGCGGCGTGCGCTCCCAAAATCAGCCGACATCCTGGGTCTTTGTCGCCAGGTCCGCACTCAGTTCGACATGGGCACCTTCAAGGTGGTCACTGGCCGAATGTCTCGCGACATGACCACCGTCGCGCCCGACGCGTCGTCCTCGTCGCCCCAGACGGTGCCAACTGCGTCGGCGTCGACGGCGACAGCGGTGGAGACGGTGACGGAGCCCGGGGCTGCCACCGTGGAGCTGCGGACCACCACGAGGATCGCGGAGCTGCTGGACACGGTGGAGGACAGCCTGCTGCCAGCGCGGACCGCTGGAGGAAATGTGAGAGGAGGGGAGAGGGGAAGAGGGAGGAGGGAGGAGGGGTAGGGAGGAGGGAGGAGGGAGGAGGGAGGAGGGAGGAGGGAGGAGGAGAAGAGGGAGGGAGGGTGGAAGGGAGGGAGGGAGGGATGAGGAAGAGAGGAGAGACGAGAGAGGAGCGAGAAATGAGGGAAGAGGGAGGAGGAAGGAGAGCGGACTGAAGTGACGAAGTAAGCCAAGTGACGTGGATGACCGGGAGGCCGTTTCTGTTACCCATCAGTGACCATTTCCCTACCCGCCAGCCGGGCGCCGCCCTGCTGCCGCGCGCCGGCCGGCCGGCGGACGACCCTCCGGAGCTATATTCGGGCCGTAGCTCGTGGGACAGGATACGGGAGGTGCGCCGCAGGAGCATGAACATGACGCGAGTGGAGCGTAAGTAGATGGAGCTGGGCAAGGGAAAATTGCTCTCACATTCTGACGGAAACCTCAGATTTTCCCGCTTCAGCTTGCATCACCATCTAGCAATTATAACAACCATGAAATGAATGTTAATAATTGTAAATAGAGATAAGCCCAGATCGATCGTTTCATAGATAATTGTGCAGGTCGCTTATAAAATGTTTGTGTTGCTTTTCCCAACAGACATCGAAGCGGAATGTCAAGACGACTTCATGCGGATCATAGTGCATTTCAACGGTACCTTCAGCGGACTTATTTACTCAGCAGGTACGTCCCTTTTTAACAATCATCAACACAATGCTATACTCAGCTTTAATATGTATGCGATGTTGATCACTAAATCCTGAAATATCTTCATGCTGGCATGCTCATAAAATACTGCACAATGCTGATACGGAAGCGATGCGAAGCCTGCGTATAGTGCATGTGTAGCAGCGCTATAAGTATCATTTGTCACACCCTACTTATACGAGATATGCGGCCCGGGCTCAGCTTCTGCTCTACCTGTCCGTTATTTCTGAGAACACTGCAGCGGCGACAATTATTGCCACCGGCGGCGTGCGCTGAAGGCCGATTACAGCACCGGGTGCCCCATATCGGTATAATAAACCCACCCGTCGGCAGTATAGACACACATTTCGTACTTTAGAAGACGGGATGCAGTCTAGGACCGCACCTGGCGAGTGTTGGGAGGCGATTAGATACAGATGAGTTCAGATGCGGTACCTTTGCCATACGGCATTCGTCACTCCTCATTTTCCGAGGCTAGTCAGCAACACAGTTATTTTCAGAATGCATCAGAATATCCCTCAAGATGGGTTTATATGACATTTTTCCTGCTACTCACTGACACAGTTTTCTGACCTAACTTTGAGAGCACCGCTAAACGTGAATAGTTTTCGATATCCTGGCTGTACAGCCTAAATGGAAAACAGTTGTCGAATATGTGCATTCACTCTCCGTACTTTTTCAATCTTATGTGCGTGAGAGTTACAAAGTCGGTAAGCACTAAAACTGCGTATATTAGTTGCACCGCAATCGGTACTCGCAAGAGCTATCCTAGCCAGAAGCCGGCTTATGGAGACTGCACGAACACAATAGCAGTAGCACCAGGGAGACTGCATTATCTCACACAACAGTAGCACCAGGGAGACTGCATTATCTCACACAACAGTCCCGTAGCTCCCGTAGGCCGGTCCCGTAGCTCAGTTGGTAGAGCGTTGGACTCCGCGTGGTGAGAGCACGCGTTCCCGGTTACAACAGTCCGGGTTCGAAGCGCGACGGGCGCTTGACATTTATGGGCCTCCTGACAGGTATGGTTGCGGTTGGTGGCAGGCCGTAGCCTGGCGAAGTCAGTGAGGGGACCGGCCGTGCGCGGCTATGTGCGCACGTTAAACTTTGGACTCTAAATTCTGCCATAGAACTGGGATTGCGCGATCGGAGGGTAGAGGGCAGGGTCACCGCAACAAGCTTCGCTTAGCGGTGGCTCTGTCCTTGTGAATCCTTCTCATCATAAGGTTCGGACTAAATTTATAAAAAAACAGTAGCACCAAAAGACTGCAACACCTCCCACAACAGCAGCACTAGGAGACTGCAGAATCTCACACAACAGTAGCACCAAGGAGACCGCATTATCTCACACAACAGTAACACCAAGAGACTGCAACACCTCACACAACAGCAGCACTAGAAGACTGCATTATCTCACACAACAGTAGCACCAGATCGTGGAGCCTGCACGCACTCACAAAACAGTAGCACTAGGTCCTAGAGACTGCAATACATCACACAGCGGTAACCCCCAAATGTCGATTATTGTGCGGCATCAACGATAGGTCGTAAAACCAAGCTTGGGAGCTGATCCAAACTCACGGATGAATTCAGGTGAGGCGTCAAAGCCTTTATTTGTTCCACATTACGTTACCATGACCTCTGGTCATCAAACACTGCAGTCGCTAAATCTAAAATTAAGCCTCATAAGAACTTCTGTTTCTGTCTCACAAAGATTTATGAGATTTGATAGGATCCATAACATTTGACAAAGATCCATCCATTTAATAAAATGGCACATTGGCTATCAAATTACAATGGGGTATGCAGCGTTGCATCCGTTGTTCTCTATATATCCCGGTCTATCAAAGAACAGCTCCAGTGCAGTAAGTGCAGGGAGATACGCCGGTTGCACCGGTCACTGTGTCAGTGGTGGCGTCTGCGGGCCCATCTCAGCTTCCCCTCCGTGGACCGCTGACCATGGCAACAATGGGCCGTCCAAACACTCCAGACACTCACTATTGTAGCCGCTCTGCTTCAGGTTCCCTTTCCCTCTTCTTTTTTGTTTATTATTATCTCCAAATACCATGAGTGAACAGAAAGGCACCAACATCACGCTCCAATGTTCGGAACAGTTTAGTTATGCTCGAAGCCGAGAGCTGCTAACGGTTCCGACCGGCAATTTCCATGTCTGTTCCGTCGGAACCAGTGGAAGGTCTTGCAATGCCGCCGCTACGCCAAGTTCAGTAACCCTGGCTCAGTCTGCCCACCGGAGCAGAACTGCAACGTGGCATGGGTGCGCGTGCGTCGCGTTTCCTGCGGAAGGGGTAATACGCTCCGTCGACGGCGTCGCTCCGGCTCAGAGGTGTCATGTCTGTCATTATACGGCTGCGTCGCGCACTGTCAGCCGATGGGACGGGCTGCACCGTCACCGGCACGAGCTGTGTCAGTTCCGGACCCCTGAGGGCCCCTGCTGCACTCGCCGCAGCTGCTGGATCTTTTGCGGCTCGGCTGGCCGCCCGCTGCCCGCCGCACGTGCCGTCTTCATTACCAGTGACCCATGCTGATCGGTGGCGGTCGATCTCTGATCGGTTCCTCAAGGTCTCGGAAAACACGGAGCATGACGAAGGCATTGCCACCGACTCGCCAGGGCATTGGCGCTTGGCTGGAGTGGAGTACATAATAGTGGAATGGCTAACCCACCCCTGTGCCAGCCTCAAGATTCCGCGGCCAAGTGAGGGCATACTGATCCCGACTGTGCAGTGGATTCCGACCGAGGGGTTCTTCTGCCAGCACGGCGCTGACGCCGGTCGGTGGGCGGGGCGGCTCATGTCACTCCACGTCGGGTCACGGGCTGCCGCTGAGGCGCGCTGAAGCCGTTATTTTCCGGTGCAGTCGCGCGCCGTCTCCGTCGCACCTGCGCCGATTTGGGCGCCGGGCGCGAGCCCGACCCTCCGCGCCGCCCGGTCTGGGTTGTTTCACGCCACGCGACTCTGAGCGTCTGTAATGCGAACCGGCCGTGCCGGCGAGCGGCGGGCGGTACAGGGGTGAATACCAAGTCCAGCCGACAGCCGGGGTCGGTGTAGAGTCCCGCAATTGCCCCGGTGCCGACAGTGGTTTTTGCCGGACGCGCTATTTGTTGGGGCTCCCTCACGAGTTCTTATGACAACGCCGCGTTACGGACCGCTGCTCCTGACGCCGTACCCTGCTAATTGGGTACGTAATAGAGATGGATGGTGATCTTTTGACAGCGATGTGCAATTAGTACGTCACGAATTGTACAGGAAGTGTTTCTTTGGTTAAACTGGGGAAAACTCAGGTATATTCTAGTAGGTGCATGCTAAACTGTGACTAAGAAAAAGTGAATGCACTCGTATGCATGTATACCGATAAACCATGTATGTATACCGATAACCCACTGACGCTACCAAATGTTGAATGCTGAATCTGATTGGCTCACCTGCATGTTCAACTATTTGGTGTTTATCGTGACTCCAATTTGTCCTTTTGTCTCAGGTTACGCGTACGACCCGGGCTGTATTTACATCAACGGAACGGGCCGCAACGTGTACGAGTTCCTGATCCAGCTGAATCGCTGCGGCACCCTAGGCGGCAACAACAAACGAGATGTGGAGGCCCAGGGGCGCGACATTGCCGGGGTGAGTAAGGGTAGCACGCCGAGAAGGTTCGGTGGACATCTGAGCACATGTTATTAACGAGTGAACACTGACTCCAAACCGGAAACTGATAACTGAACACTCACCACGTATTGGATTGACCATGCATCTGACTACTGACTTTCTGAGTACATACCACGCAAGTCAATGGATTGAGCCGAGAGCGCAGGCTTCCTTCGGTGTTTGACAATGTATGCACTGCTTAATGATTCATCGAGTTGTGAAGCATTTACCTAATGGCATTGAATATTGCATTTTAACGAACCATTACTCCTAACAATCCATACATCAGTTGAAGTTGTTACATTATGCTTTAATGTGGTGTGAGTTATGTCCTGTCCCACACCACCCCCTATTCAAATGTCGGTGCCGGATAGGACACAGGGGAGCCTGTTATTGTTGTCCAATTTAGCGCGGACGATGAATGTTTCCTGGGCAGAGAGCCCCTTTACTACGGGAACCTCTTTCCTGTTCTTGTCACAGCCCTCTCGTCATGCTGATGAATAGAGTCGATTTTTTTTCCGGAGCAATTTGGGTGTGACATTCCAGTTATTCGATACACATTCGACTGCCCTCACCATCCACTATCACGTGGAAGAATAGCCGTGTGGATTTAGCAATATCATTGACCTGACCACAGTTGATCGTGATATAAAGCCTTTGGTGAGGAGAATAGGAGCTTGCTTCACCGTGTCCAGACCAAATTCAGTCACCTTTCTTCTATTTCAGCCTCGTTATCCCCTAAGTAACTCCTCATAAATACTGAATTAGAATCCCACAGTTCCCTCTAAAGTTCTGTTTGCACCCACGCTATAATCATCGTTTTCTCAGCACTTATTTGGGGAACAAACCGACTTGGAAGCGGTCAGTGAACGAGCCGGTGCAACGTGTGAAAAGTGGAAAATGCCACGCTTCCGTAAGGGCACCGTGGGAAAGCGTCATGCTCTAACTTCCGGTGAATTGCCGTTTAATTTCGCGATGAGAATTAACTCGAGGGAACACTGAAAGTGAAACGAAAAGAAGCCTGGGATTTACTTGATAGCAATTAAAGAACCTGAAAGCCCAGTGCACTGCATGTGGCTGTTGTAAGCGCGCTCTCCACTTCCTTCCGTTTCCTTCCGCTCTCGTGTTTTGTGTAACGTATAACATTCCATGTGTTTTGACCGGCAGAAAAACTTCATGTGGAATACAGTTTCGGTGCAGTACAACTCTATGATCGAGGAAGAGTGGGACGAGCACTTCAAGGTGACCTGCGAGTACGGCTACGACATCTGGAAGACGGTCACATTTCCCTTCCTCGACGTCGAGTAAGTTCATAAATACTATTTTACGTACTTACTGGCAAATGATACGTTTGAATTGATTGAATCGTCAATTGATCTTGCAACATTCACTTTCTATAGTATATCGTGGTCATAATAAATCAACTGAATAAGGCAAATATTCCGCCCTAGCGTCTCGGGTCCATGACAAATATCATGCATTGTAATTCGGTGCTAAATAGACTAACTAGTGAGAGCTCATTACAACTCAACCGTAAGCAAGGGATTTTATATTTAAAACTTTATTCTGTTTACATATCCAGAGCGTTGCAACTATTTTACAGCATGGCACAAACAATGGCATTCGCTCTTATCACAATAACCAGGCCCGTGTCACACTGCCCACTGACGGATCAGCTGGCCTCTCGCGAACCCTCGTGGCCCAGTGGCTAGCCCGTGACGAACCGTTTGTGGCCCAAAAACCCCACCGGCCGGTCACTGGAACAGTGTGTGCCGGCGCCACGGCGCTCCGCTAACGCGCTGTTTTATGTGGCCGTGATAAAACACTGCCCGTTGACCCAGCCGTCAGTGTGGGGTCCATTGTCTGGGTATGGAGCGGATGGGGACTCGCACTCGCGTCGGAGCGCGAAACGATGGAACGGTTACGTCAGTTGGTAACTGAAGGCCGGATCAGAATTGGTTGTCCCAATGAAATGTTTGAATTGAAACCACCCAAGCGTAACAGATCACTTATGGTCTTCTCATGACACAAGCAACTGCCACCTGACGTAATGATTAACCAGATCATAAACAGTTAGCTCCGTGTCCTTCCTCTCAATAGTATGCATGCATACTTTGCAAGCGCTACTAGCGCTTGCAAGCGCTACTGGTATTTCTTCTTCAGAGAGCCAACAGGCAAACCTGTGCTTTTCCTCTTTCGGGAGCCGCTGCTGTCCCCTCCGCAGAACATAAGACCGGTGAAATCAAAGGCATGAGTATGTGTTTTTCCTCAGAACCTAGCCGATAACCATGTATTCTTCCTCCTACAGAACGCAGACGGGTAACCCGGTGGTGTTCACTCTGAGCCCGCCCGAGTGCTACATGGAGATACGGTACGGCTACGGCACCACCGGTAACCGTATCACCGGTCCGGTACGAGTCGGAGACCCGCTCACACTCATCATCTACATGCGCAGTCAATACGGTGAGTACTGAGTAGGAATTTTGTCTTTTGGTGTTATTTCTCATATGCCATGACCCAGTGCCCTAGCCTTTCTCAAATAGTGACGTGTCTCATGGACCAGTGGAGTCATCCGTCACACACATCGCATCGATGTGATACGCGTATACCAGAACCGGTGCTGTACTCCGTCAGCTTCTACGGTTCCTTGATCCGTTATGCCGCTACGGCGCTGTAACACATCAGTCAACCTCTGCGGTGCTGTAATCCGTCTCAGACTGTGAGTTGGCTTTGATCCTTCAGCCTCTACGGTGTTGTAATCCGCCATCCTCTCCGGAACTGTGATCCTTTAGCCGCAGGGGCGGGCAAAGTCCGGCCCGCGGGCCGGATGCGGCCCGCCAAGCTCCGGCGTCCGGCCCGCGGCCTGGATAGGCAGCCAGCATTGCAATCCGGCCCGCGAGCCCTACGGAAGCCCAGTTTAGGATTATGGTTCATCCGAGTTCAGTAGCAATAGCACCACGGTGACCTGCTGTTCTTCAGTGAGGTACGCTGGCTGAGTCGCGGCGCCATGCTGTCCCGTGTTTGGGAGCTCAGGCAGGACATCGCGAGCTGCCTACATGAGAAAAGCTCGCCATACGCCGATAAATTCAGTGATTCCAGGTGGCTGGCTGACCTGGCACTGCTCACGGACATCAAATTCCACCTGAACACGTTGAACACAAAACTTCAAGGAAAGGGTCTTCTGCTCCCCGACATGTATGCGCATGTCACTGCCTTCGAGGTGAAGCTGCGTCTGTGGGAAGCCCAGGTAGGTCGAGGACAGCTTGACCACTTCCCTCGCCTGGCCACCTGTGCTGCGGAAGATGTCGACCGCGACGGATGTGCCGCTGCTCTTGCCACTCTGCGCCAGGAGTTCACGAACCGCTTCGCTGGCGTTCGGGAGCTCGCTACCGACTTCAAGCTGGTGACAGCACCGTTCGACTTCAGTGTCGACGAAGCGCCGGTATCCCTGCAGATGGAGTTGGTGGAACTCCAAAGCAGTGATGAACTTAGAGGAAAGTTCCGAACCTCTTCGCCTCTGCCCTTCTTCCGCGATGTCATTATCCCCACTGGCGGATATCCCAACTACATATCGCACGCCCAATGCATCGCTGCAATGTTCGGTAGCACGTACTGCTGCGAACAGCTGTTCTCAAAAATGAAGTACGTGAAGTCCCACCTCCGATCCAGACTGTCTGATCGTCACCTGAATGACGTCCTCAGGCTGAGCTCGACGATATCTGTGGCGCCGGATGTCGAATGGCTTCTTCACGGCAGGAAGCGGCACCACCCTTAGCACTAAAAACGAGGATGCGGAGATCGAAGGACGCATTCCGGTGCCTTTCTGGGACAGCATGAAGGGAGTGACGTGGAGTATCGTGTCAATACAAATAGCATGTGAATCACAAAGTATTTTGTCTTCTTACGATCGAGAAAAGTTTACGGCATAAACCAATAAACTAAACACAAACATCCAGGTGCCCGCCGTCTCCAGCTTCTTGAGGTACTTCTCAAGTTTTTCTTTTTTTTCTTTTGTTAATTAGGTGCTTCGGTCCAATCGGACCATTGCGCACCATGGGTTCACCTACCTAGTTAGTTAATGTAGACCTGTCTATCTGTAAATATTTATAACCGATGTAATAGACCTGTTGCGACCAAAAAAGAGAAGAGGAGATCCAACAATGAAGAATGCTCATCACCGAGAATCACAGGCAATGCCATAGGCACGCCATGTGTTGTACAATAATTTTGCAAAGGAATCCGCTCGTTATTGTATTCATGACAATGCAGTATAATGTGTTCTATTGTGAGTACTGTTCCGCATCGTGTACAAATAGGCCTTGGTTGTTTTGAAAAGATGAATGAATGAGTAAGATAAGTATGACCAATCCGTAGTCTTGCCAGTGCCTTTTCTTCCTTTCTTGAATGACGGTTCGACGATGTCCATTGTGATATACGTGGTTTAATGCGTTGCAAATGTGTGCCTGCGCTCTCTGTGTCCCATAAATGTTGCCAAAGGCGATAGCAGTGATACTTTACTGAGTTCCGTATACCACTGCTATCAAAAGATATCTCAGTTATATTTGGAATGGTTAAGGCTTGTTTGGCGAGTTGATCTGCTTTTTCATTTCCAATGATTCCACTGTGTCCTGGAATCCATAAGAATTGTACTTCTGTTCCTGTGCGAGTAAGGTGTTGGTGTATGTTAAATATAGTTATATGTATGTGTTTAGTATCATCTATTCGTTGCAAACTTTGAACTGCCGATTTGGAGTCGGAACATATGCATGCTTGTTTGATACCATGCTGCTGAATGAGCTGAAGTGCATACAATATGGCCTGCATTTCTGCGTGATATATTGATGTACCGTTGGGTAATCTTAAGATAGTTGGCGGAAGTCCTTGCGAAAATATGCCTAGACCAACCTTATCATCCTGTTTTGACCCGTCTGTAAAGAAAAAATGAAAGTGATTGTGCGTTGTTTGGTAAGTTAAAAAAGTTTGCTGGATTTCGTGACATGAGAGAGAAGCCTTGTGTGCTGTGAATAAAAATGAAATCAATAATGGGTGAGATGTCCATGGTGCCGATTGACGTGGAGGCAAAGGTGGAACGTTGGGCAATGCATACCCTATGTCGTCTTGATACTTTTTCATTCGCGAAGCGATGGTAAGGCCAGTCCTTCTCTCGCATCTCCCAAGATAGTTGAAATGCAATCTGGGTAAAACTGCTATTGCTGTGGAAGCTGCATGGACTGGAATTTGTGTTACCTTAACGACATATCTGAATGTTAAATCTATTCTTCTGATGTATAATGGTAGTATGTTCGCCTCAACCTGTAATGACGCCACCGGCGATGTTTTCAGGGCACCAAGAGCTATTCTCAAAAAGTTGTTCTGGACAGCCTCTAATTTCAATAAATTGGACCGACATCCTCCTGCATACAAAACAGAACCATACTCTATGACTGGCAGAACTATTCCTTTATACAAGCGAAGCAATGTAGAACGATCTCCACCACACGGTGTGCTGGTAAGGCAGCGAAATAGATTTAATCTCCTTTTGCATTTGGCTTGTATATGCTTCACGTGATGAGTCATTGATAACCTTGGATCTAGCACGACACCCAAAAACTTGAATTTCTTTACTAGTGGTATTTGAATACCGTTCAGTTGAGGTAGGGTGGATGGTTCGATTCTACTATGTCTAGAAAAAATCATAAACGCAGACTTTTCAGCCGAAAATTCTAAGCCATATCTAATTGACCATCTTTCCACTTCACGAAGTGCGATTTGTAAATGCTGAATTCCAGTGTCGTAATCAGGAGTTGTGAGCCAAATCGCACTATCATCTGCGAAAAGAGAAAAAGAAATATCGGCAGGAATGCTTTCAAATAAATCATCAATCATAATATTGAAAAGAATTGGTGAAAGACAACTGCCTTGTGGAAGACCATTTTGTGTTTCGTGAAAGTTGGAGAAAATAGAACGAAGCTTCAAGCGGAAACGTCTATTCCCAGACAGGAAGTTGATCAAATAATGTGCCATGTGGCCTTTGATACCAAGTCGTGCTAGTTTATATATAAGAGCTGGTTTATAGACCATATCAAATGCATTTTTGATATCTAAAAATATTGCTAGGGTGTGTTGCTTCTTCTTAAATCCTTGTCGGATAGCACTCTCCAGCCGAATCAAATGATCAATTGGCGAATGATGTTTGCGAAAGCCGCATTGAAACCTAGAAAGCATATTTTGTTGTTGTATAAGAAAAGAGAGACGTTTAGATATTATTCTTTCAAGAAGTTTTCCCATGCAGCTCGTCATTGCAATTGGGCGATAGTTCTTGGGATCGTGGCGAATCTTGCCTGGTTTTAATAGCGCAACGATGGTACTTTCTTTCCAGCCTTCTGGAAATAATTGCCTACGGAAGATGTCATTAAATGCGTCTAAGATAAAATGTTTTGAGTGGTCTGAAAGGTGACGAAAGAAAGCATAGTGCAGTTGGTCAGGTCCAACGGAAGTGTTCCCTGCAGAGTAGATTGCATCGTTGAGCTCATGTATGGTAAAAGGAATGTTATATTCTTCGTTGTTATGTGAGCGAAATACAGTCTGGTCGAGTAAGAATTCTTGACGTGCGTTATCTATGAATCCCGGACGATATTTATCATTTGAGCTGGTGTGAGCGATTGTCTGGGCCAAGCAATTAGCCACATCATTCGGCTCACTTATTGTTTCACCAGTTGCCGGGATCCTAAGAACCGGAAGTGTTGCACTGGACCGTTTTCCGGATAACCTACGCACCAAGTCCCAAATTCTACTCAGAGGCGTAGACGAAGTGAATGAAGTCAAAAAATGTTGCCAGGAGTCACGTTTTGCTTGCCGAATAATCTTCTTTGCATTAGCACGTTCTTTGTTGCGATTTATTAAGGCTTGATCTGTGCGTTGTCTCAAATATGCTCTAAAAGCACGTTTTCTTTTCGCAACGGCCTGCCGAACAGAAGGAGTCCACCACGGCACAGCGTTTGCCTTTTTGCACGGTTTAGTTTTAGGTATGCATCGGTTTGCGACTGATAACATTGTTTCGGTGATGTATGAAATATTGTCCACTGGATGGTCAAGGCGTTCATTGAGCTCAAGTTGACACAACTCTGTAAACTTGGTCCAATCCGCCTTCTCCAGATTCCATCGAGGTGAAAAGGAAGGTACTCCGTCTACATGGAAACAAAATTGAAGAAAAATCGGGTAATGGTCACTATCATGGATATCGCAATCAACTGACCATTGAAACCAAGTAGCTAGGTGCGGAGATGAGATCGACAAATCAATGGATGATTCGGTATTGTGAGACAAATTGAAGTGTGTTGGTTGGTTGCAGTTGAGTGTAACTAATCTGTGTTGGTCAATGAAATCTTCGATAATCTTTCCTCTACTGTCTAACGATTGCCCATCCCACCAAGCCGGGCTATGGGCGTTGAAGTCTCCGAGGAGAAGAAAGGGATTCTTTAATTGTCTTATAAGTTGGTCGAGTTCTCGAAGAAGCTCAGAATGATCGTAGTCAGGAGGTATATATATGCTGCATATGTCTATATTTCTACCATTGATGTACATAGTACATGCAACAGCTTGTAACTCTGTTTGAAGGTGTATTTCACTATGAGTGTAGTCATTTTTCACGTACAGCGCAACACCGCCGTGTCTGCGCTGACCATACAGCTCGTCGTGTCTATAAAGCGTGTAATTTGATAACTGAAAATTATAGGGATCAGTAGGCAAGAACCAAGTTTCTTGTAGTGCTATGAGTATAGGAGTAAGCACAGAAAAGAAGTTTTTCATTTCGGCCCACTTGGAAAGCAGGCCTCGACAGTTCCATTGGAGCATCCTGGACCTATTCATGATTGGTGACGTGAAGTGTTACCACGGCTGGGCGAGGCCCAGCTCAGCGCGCGGTTACGTCCCATCGCCACCCGAGTCGGTGGACGTGGTTGACGCTCCCTGGGTTGTCCATCACTCGTCTGAGGAGTTGAGGTTTTTGGGCGGGGGCCACCAGACTTCTGGACCCTCGTCCAGCTAGTGAAGCGGCTTGCACCGACGGACTTCGGCTTCTGAGCGATCTCAGGAGAAGCAGCTGGTGGGGACTCGAGAGACGGCATCTGCTCATCTGCATCAGTGGTCTCAGATGTCTGGGTCGTGCTGCTGGAGGCGGTCGCTTCGGGAGCCATAGGCTCAGGAGTCAGAGGCGAGAGGCACTTCAGAGGAGGGAGCTCTGGGATGGCATCGGTCTGTGTACCGCTGGAGACGGTCTGAGTCTGTGTGGCCTGGGCATACGACTTGACTGGTTGTTTGGAGACTTTCTCTTCCACTGAGCGGCGTGCTTGTGGGTATGAAACACCCGTGGTGGCTTTTACTGTGCAAATTTCTTTTTCTTTTTTCCACACTGGGCACTGGTTTGAGTTGGTAGTGTGGTCCGTGGCATCACAGCTGAGACATTTTATTGGAGCGGAGCAGGGCGAGCCATCGTGCGGAGCTGCACCACAACGGTGGCACCGTGCGGTCTGCTTACAAAATTTTGAGCCGTGTCCAAAGCGTTGGCAGTTAAAGCAGCGGAGAGGGTTTGGGACAAAGACGCGAACCTCGTAGCGAATGTGGCCGGCAAGCAGAGTGTCTGGCAGCTTCGTTGTGTTGAACGTGATCACCAGCAAGCTAGTGTCACGCCTCTGGCCGTCTCTGAAGGTAGTGAGGCGGCGGACATGAGCGACCCCCTCAGGACGGAGTCCGCTGAGGATTTCCTCTTCGGACATGTAACGCATCTCTGGAGCGAAAATCGTACCCTTCGTGGTGTTGCGAGCATGGTGCAGAGAGACAGTCACATCTTTCTCACAGAAGCGAGTGCATTTAAGCAGAGCCTTGGTTTGAGCGCGGGTTTCGGTCTTGACGATAAGTGTTCCGTTCGCCGGGGTTTCGATATCCAGGTGACCGGTGCCACAGATCATCCCTAGATATTTAGTGGGCCAGAACACATTCACCTTACGGAAAGAAACGTTTTCATCAACCGGCTTGATCACCAAATACGATCCAGAAGACTCAAGGTACGGCTCAGGCTTGTCCATAGACGGGCCAGCGGTGGTCAGGTTCGGGCGCGGGTCGGTACCGGGAGCGGCGGCTAGGGTCGAGCGAGGGTCAGTGCCGGGGGCGGTGGTCGAGGACGAGCGAAGGTCAGAGCCAGGGTGAGCGGTCAGAGGCGGGGCGGGGTCAGCAGCCGGGAGTTGGGAGTCCATCACGTGATCAGGAGAGTCGGCCAAGGAGGAGTCAGAGTCGGAGTCCGGGGGATCAGGGCGGCGTCTTTTCCCCGACATGGGGAAAAGCGAAGGGAACGAAAACGAGAAAGAAACCTAACTAATGGAACCTAGAGAAACGAAACTATCACCACCAAACGCTCAAAACCAGATAGAGCGTATCCAAAGAGCGGAATCAAAGGCCAATCACAGCGTGCGCGTGGAAAATCGTCCATGACTTCTCAAGTAAGGTGAGTCGTTATTTCTATGATTCCTAGTGTGTCTGTGCATTTTCCAAAAGCAGACTTGATTTTTAGTACGGTTGTCATGGGTCAAAAGTCATTCGTTAACTATAGGTAGTGTAACTATAGGTATTGTGTAACTATAGGTATTTGTCTCTGTCATGAGACAGTCATTGCCCGTCGTTAGTCAGTCGCGTCATAGCAACATAGCATCCATTTTAGTCATTGGCAAACGAAACTCTGGCGAGCTTAGCACTTAGGCCCCCAGTTGCTCACAAATGCAACACCCGGCCCGCGCTCCCAAAAGTTTGCCCACCCCTGCTTTAGCCTTTACGGTGCTGTAATCCGTCTCACGCCACGGAGCTGTGATCTTTCAACCTCTGCCGTACCGTGATCTGTCTCACGGCACGATGCTGTGAGCTGTTTCACACCCCAGGTCTCCTGTCCATCACCGTGTCAGTATTGGCTCGGGGCGGGCTATCGGGGCGCGTCTCGTGTCAGTTCGCCACCATTCGGGGAGGGCGGGGTGGCGTGCCGGTGGGTCACGGACCAGGGCCCTCTCTGGCGACAACGCAGCCCGGCCGAAACCAACCGGCCTAACGGAGTCTCCGGCGCACCGCAACACAAAACGGGCCCGTGTTTAACCGTGCCATATGATGGCTGTTGGCGATCATAAGCGGGAGCGAGGTGTCAGTTATTGGTGAACCTCTTGGTACAGTGATTTTCTGCGTGACAAACATGTCGCCACTCGCTGGCATCACTTTTCAGAATCGTGATGCATTCAGCTTCTTGTCCGTGGCCGATGCTCTAAATTCGTCTGAGCCCTGAGGCCAACAAGGAGTGAGGGCGCAAGGAAATTTTATGTAAAAATGGCAACTGAAGACGCAGAAACGCTAAAATATACAATGCTCAGACCTTTCCATGTTGGGTTCCATCATTCGGATTTCGGAGAATAGGTATGGTCCTCGACGTCAAAAGGAGCATTAAGGCCGGAAAGATATGATTTAGTTTTGTGAGAAGTGATGCTTGCCTGCACTATAGGATTTTCTAACGGTGTTGCAAATAAAGATCGAGCGTTTCTAAATGAGCAGGGAATCAACAAAATTGACTACCTTTTTGCTTTCGGTACGTGTAACGTGAATGGAAGACACAACAACATGTGTGTAGCCTTCGATAGGGGCCGAGTCCGCTACACAGGACCCCATCCTGTCTGGTCGGTCCCCAACTAACGCTCTATCCGTTACCCACAGACGGCTTCGATATCGTCGTCAGCGACTGCTACGCCCACAATGGAGCCGACAAGAAGATCTCGCTGGTCGACCACTACGGGTGAGTGCACGGAGCGACTGACGACCGCGGAACGACCCCGGCGGCACCCGCCGTGTCGGCATCGACACGACGGTGCCGAGTCGTCATCGACAGACGCACTGGACCCGGCAGTGAGGCGCGATATATGCTACCGCAACCCATGGCTGGTGCAGCAGAGCGTAAAGAATGAGCACCTAATGGGACGACTCTGCCCAACAGCGGAACGGCGACCGGGGCCCGGCACCCCGATAGCAGCGCTGGGTTTGTACCTAGCGTTAGATTAGAGTACTAACGATTCTCTCTGTTGCCGTCAGGTGTCCGGTGGACGAGAAGCTCATCAGCCCGTTCCAGGGCACGTTCTCCGAGGACGGCGTGTTCGAGACTCAGGTGTACGCCTACATGAAGACGTTCCGCTTCACTGGCAGCCCGGCGCTCTACATCGAGTGTGATGTCCGAATGTGCCACGGAGCCTGCCCGGTACGTGCAGCCCCACCGAAGGCAGTGTCGTATACGGGGATATGTGTCGGATTAATCGTATTGTAGATGTCGTATGAAGTCTATGACGTTGCACACTGGAACCCGTCTTTTATGGTTATTATGATCCAATAGAATAAAGGTCGCTCATTTATACGGAAAGCAAAACCGTGTTTTTATTGAACTCGGCAGTCAGCATGAACAATCACCAGTAGTTCATGTAGAGCGTAACTTTCGTTTTCGTTACTTTTCCGGAGCAATGAAAGCCCCTCCAGAATGCTTGTCCATCCATTTTGTCCCTATAATCTCGTCTGACCTCTGTCTCTGTCTCTGACCCTCCCAACAGACGCAGCCGTGCCACTGGCGGCGTGGCAAACGTTCCGTGCCGGAGCTGGACACTGCCGAGAACAAGACGGCCGAAGAGGCGCAGCGCACGCAGAGCCTGGCCCTCTTCCAGGCGCTGCAGGTTCTCAAAGACGACGAGGAGCTGGAGAGAACGAGGAGTGACTCTTCAGGTACGGTCCAGCCCTCAGCTAAAAAAGCACAAAGTTTGTCGGACAATGACACTTCCAAAAGAAATGGTAATGGTAACTTAGGCTGGCCCTGTATGCCGTTCACAGAGGTCAGACGTCTGTGTATGAGGAAATATGAATTACGAGTATTATGCGTAGAAAATCAGATCAACGAATAAAATGCATTTTTCAATGAGGAAAAGGCGCAACTTTCATCTATTTTTGAAATAACTCAACGGAGTTACCTCACAGCGTTAAGCTGAGGTTCCAGTAGGTAACAGGAAGGTATATGTGATCCCGCTATCCCTAAGAGTCACTGGCCTCTAACCGGTGATTCGCCGCTCTCCCAGGTCGGCCTCTGGAGGCCGACAGCGTGTGTCTCAGCTCGGGCGTCCTGCTGGCCGCCGCCGGCGTTGGCGCCTTCGTCGTACTGGCCTCGGCGCTGGCCTGCTGCCTCTTCTGTCGACGGTTGCGCCGTCAGCGGAAGGAGGACGAGGTGGTGGAGACGTTCCGACCTCCGCGCATGGTGCGCCCCTCCCGCCTGCCCTAGAGGTCGGTGGTCGTCTGAGAGGGCCCCCGTCCTGCCTCAGGGGCGGCTTTCGTCTCCCTAAGGCCGGTCCTTTTGTCCCAAGAGCCGCCGGTCTCTTATGTCCCAGAGACAGATCGTTCTTGCCTGCCCTAAGACCGAGCCGGACGACCGAGAGACTGCAGCTGAAGAGACTTGAAGTGCTGGTGTTCGAGAGATCGCTTGGTGTTCTTTGAAGAGCACAAGAGTGGCCGATGCCCTGATCCAGGCGCAGACATCAGATGTGCTCTCTCCCTCCCTCGAATGAGTCCCACAGAGCGGTGACTGTAAGACACAGTTCAGTGGTTAGAAACAGAATGGGCATCGAAAAACTGAGCTGAGTGATGCTTTTTGAGATTCGGAAGGAAAGTGTGCTTTTATCGTTCGCCAGGAACTCACGAAGATATGGAAGAGAAGGTGTGTTTCAATGGCGTGGTGGATAACGGATTTCCGAACCCAATGGGCATTTGTGGTTGGCTGCGACTCACCCGGGATAAAACCTGAGCTGAGACTTGTTTAGGGACTGAGTCGACAGTGTGGTGGAGACTTTTCCCTCCATGCTGCAGGCAGAAGCGATGGAGACAGTAGAGTCCATCACACGTCAGGACATCAGCTCGAGCCTCGATCGGCGACGTACAGATAAGAGGAGCCCAGTTCGACAGCTGCAAAACTGTTCGGATTGCAGGAGCCCGTCTGGTACAACGTACGGATTAGGTGAGCCCGATCTGACAAGACTGTACGGACTAACGGAGTGGTCGCACTTGGCAGCTTCACAGCTGCGCAGAGTGGGGCCTCTTATAAGCCGGCGGGCATTGTGCGCTTGATAGCGGTAGAGTGGAAGCCCAAAGCAACGGAAAACACTCGAGTTGTGACAACTCGCGAGACTCCTTGTGGATAGGAAGTGCGTCAAGGAAGTGTGGGCATTCATGTCGCCAGTATTCGCGGCTTTCGTGCTCTATTGTTGTCTGTTTTCGTGTCTCATGTCTTATGATGCAAAGCTTTCCACTCTGATGCGACAACGAAGATAATGCCTGTTGTAGATTTTCATTGTATTTTATTTTGTGACAGCGAATGTTTCACTCAATGGAAATATTCTTTCTGCTCTACATTGGAAGACGTAAATCAAATGTGGTCGATCTCATTCAGCTTTATGCTCCGTCTAAGATGGTTTATTCTGAGTTTCTTCAAGTCCGTTGCTTCATGAATTCGGTGGAGAAAACGTTTTGATCCGATGACCTCTTAGCCTCAAGACATCGCTGACCTGATCATGTATCTTAAGTAATGTGCATTGTGCAGCAGTGCATATTTCCGCTTCATAGTATCGTTGTCCAGAACATTGGCATTCACAGAATCAAAGTCAATGTAACATTTCACCTGCTTGCATCCCAGCTCGATATAACTTATCTCGCAGCGTGCTTGCTGAGTGGTTGTTGAAAATAAAATGATATTTGAACAAACATGTTTAACTCATGGTATTTCAAGTACGCATGACATTGTGGTCGTTGTGGTGCTACTTAAATGACATCGTAATTTATTATATAAACTTTGAGGGGGTTTTAATTTCGCGCGTAAGTTCGGCGTCATCTCTTCACACAAACGTTGTGTCGCCATATTGTGGTGGGATATTCTGCAGTGGCAATCTGTCCCAGTCGCTGTACTGCGGTCTGGTTAATGCAGTGAATGGAAAAAGGTAAGTACTTCTACTGCATATGCACTTGTGGGTGTTGTACAGGAAGGATATAGTGATTTCAATGTTTAAAAAACTGTTTTTTTGTGGATATGCTATTAACGCCGCAACCGCCGCAAATTTGGTTGACCTGACCTCGACCTGACCTGGCTTGACCGTGTCCCAAAGGGTTAAATGACCATCATCAGTGACTTGGAATTAGAAAGTAGCCCACAAGACATATTTCTTGCCCCGATTCCATTGTTTACCTTCGTGACTTTTCGTATCCTGACCCTGACCATGACCTGCAATAGCAAATTCACTATGGCAGAGCTTCAGTAGCAGCGAGAGTGAACACCTGTAATTTTGACCTTTGATCTGACCCTAACCTGATCTGTGACCTTTTAACCCGCGACCGCCTGGGGGAGGTCGGATCCGACCCCCCCCCCCTCCGTTTTTCTTGAATAACTCATGAACCGCTTACGCTATCAACTTGAAACTTCATATACCTTCTCCCTCATCAATTTGACGTCTTTTGTCAATTTCTTTTATGCAAATTTTTCAAAAACTTTTTGAGACATCGATTTTATTGATGCAGCTACATGTTTTTTTTCGTCAAAAATGGTAAATGTTTTTAAAAAAAATCACCAAAAATCAAGGGTTTAGGCAAATCGCAAATTAAATAAATGAATTGACGCAGCTTAACCCGCGCACCGACGGGGGTCTGCGCCAACTTAGTACCGACGGGGGGGGGCGGATGACCGCCCCCCCCTGAGATCTCGAGAACGAAGCAAGATAGCGACAAGCGGTAAACGGCATCGGATACGCACGGTCAAGATCTACAATTTTTACAAAGGTCATTTTCAGGTCAGGTCAAAGATGACGTCACAGGGGTCGAAAAAGTCAAAATGGCGGCGCTAGATATGGAGAGAGTTTTTCTCGAATAACTTTCGAATTAGTCAAGATAGGAACAAACTAAGGGCATCATCGTGAATCTCTCGTATCATATCCCATTTGAATTTTCATATAAGATGAGCGATGGATCACACAAAACATTATAATTATCATCATTTAGTTAGCACGGTACAGATCGCATGGGATAACTTATGATAGAGGCATTTCAGAGCAATGAATGCACAATCAATGTGCTCAGCACAACGATACGAATTGAATGACATGAAGCGTTAGGTACCTCAAATTATCCCTCGCCGGCCGGGGGAAGGGGGGGGAGCGGGTTCCGCCCCTGTATGATTTTTTTCCACGATAGCTTCGAACACGCTGGCGATGGAGAGCTGAAACTTTGCATACTTGATCTTTCATTCAAACCGGATCTTTTGACACCAACTGCATTTTCGGGTCAGGTCAGGTCACTGACCTATGACGTCATAAGTGAACCTCTGCACGGTCTTCAGATGTCGCAACTTCGCAACGCCCTCACTGCCAGAGGAGCTTTCACTGGGAGCTGAAACTTTCAGAATCTAGTATCCATTACGAGCCTCACAACTTGTTCATGTCAGATTTTTCTTAAAGGTCATATGAAGTCAGGTCATTTTCGTGACCTCACCAAATTAGAAGTCAATGGGGGAAAATGAAAACTGCTATTTTGGCGCCGGGAACGATCTCAAACTATCTCAACCATACGGAATTGAGATTTCATGCAATCATTGCAAGTTTTGATGCTTCACTTTTGCATTGTTGACCTTGCGTGATGTCATTCGTGACGTCACTAAGGTCATAAGAGTTTTTCGTCAATACCTTCTGATCAAATTAAGCTAGCGAGTCGGGAAAGCCACTAATGGACTCGAGAAGACCTGCCGAAGCGAATGGTATGCGACATGACCTCCTTCGACCAAGTTTGTGACCTGGGGGGCTCTGACCTGACCGTGACCCGAGGTCAGCATTTAAAGTTGACCTCAGCGAAACAAAAAGTATACCATCCGGCGGGCCTGAGCAAGGCGAACACGATGTTGTCAAAATCGTGGCTCTGCGATCAGTTTTTGCGAAACTATTCGCCAAAAATAGAACCAAAATCTTGGGCCACTTGACCTGACCTCAGAGGTCACCGAATGACCTGAGACCTTAAAATCGGGTACCGATCGCTGCACCTCGTAATGGCGCACACGCTCCTTCTTTTCGAGACGCTCTAGTTACGGCGAGGGGGGTTGTTATCCCCCCTTGGCAGGGGCGTATGTAGAAAACCAATAGGTCCGGCGAGGGTTATAATTCCTGCGATGCGTATCGACGAGAGGAGCGCGATGGCTGTAAAATAAATCTCACTCAAGCGTCAATTCAAAAGTTATTGTAGAAAAGGCTCGTCAACAATAGCTATCGAATTCACTTTTAAACGGTGATGTCGCTCATTTCGTTCACGAGTTATGCACCCATTTGTCAAATATGTCGAAATAAGCAAAATTTTGCCCTTTGCTAACATCTGGTGACCTGACTCTGGACTGGACACCTATAAAATTGACCACGTACCTACCATCTTGATGATTTCTGACACAATTTTGACCACCACCTTACCGCGTGTCGGTAAGTGCCGGCCAAGGAGCCGAGTTACGCCATCGCGGACGGTGCGGTTTTAGTTTGATGGGCTTGGCATTAGACACTTGCACCTGTTCCCTAATGTGTATGCTAATGCTTCGTTTCACATGTGCTGTGACAGCTATACTATGATGGGTTCTGTATCTCGATTCTGGAGGTGACAGGTATCACAACAATACTTGTTGCTGTGAAGGAATTCACTTTCAAATCAAATGCAAAATATAAATTAAGCGTTTAGAGCTTGGTCATGATTAGGATTAGATGTTTGTTTTATGCAAATATGTTGGTTTTATGAATGAACATTGTTTACTGAAGATTCAACACATTGACGCTTGGCAAAATTTGAAAAATTGCAGGTTAATGACTCCTAAATAAATTTGAATATGTGGTGAAATTAATGATTTTTTTTGCATATTCTGTTGGATATACTTTAGGCAAATACCATCTAATGCTTGCCTGATAGACGAAAATATTTCTGATGTTTCTGGATTTTGATAAGAACTATCAACAATTCGTACATTTGAGTTTAATTTCTGTCGTCAAATACATGATGATTATAGATGATTTATGCTATGCTTTATTCGAGACATCGAAAAAATAAACATAAGAGTTCGTCTAGAATACTAATTGTTTGAAAAAAAAAAACTGACAAAATATGGTGATAAAAATGTAAATAAACGTGGATAAGTCACTGAACTCTAATATATACTGGAAGGAGCATTGGTGACTTGTTTTTGTCTATCGATTTCCGCCATGTTGTGTATACCAGAAATATAAATTGCATGTACGGTAGCGGAGGTGCAGTTTAGTGAGAGGTACACTACTCAAAAGTGCTGCTGCTTCATGCTTGCAGTTTGATTGCAGTGATCAACTTTTCAAGACTTTGGTATACACAACATGGCGGAAATCGTTAGACATTCTGGCCCATATACGGCCAAGGCGAGTGCCTCCCCCTGGGATAAGTGCACTTATGCGGCCATGTTATTTCCTTTTACGAGGTATCAAATGCACGGACTCCCGTGCGCATCTTTAATGGCATATTCATAAAACATCATTGTCCGTGTTTCCAAATACTGGAGACCAATGTAGTTCACTAGCTATTGCTTTTTGTTGAAGAATTTATACAAACGCTAATGTTCCATTCATTATTTACAGCAAATGGTGTAATCACTTTGTAGTTCGAATGCATGCCATATCTAAAAATAGTTCGGAATGTAAATATTACTTGCGCCTGGATCTGATCAGGGCTGTAAAGGTCATGCTTTTGACAGTAGCCTTTATAACCATCGTAAATATTCTTGCGTTGTTCACAAGTCCTATTGTCTCTACAAAATCGACGCCTTGCTTTACTGATGGAGACTGCCCAAGCGCGATGGAAAAGTGTGTTTATGGCTCTTGGAAAGGGTAAGTCATGATATCGACCTTCATTGACATACCTAGGTACATTGTTGGAAACGTTTGGGCAGCATATATTGTTTATTTACCTAAAAGTCGTTCATTAATTATTTGAGCCTTCAGGATCTTCATTTTCATTTGTTACTCATATTTTGTATTTGTGAATATCGTGGCAAAGACCATGGACCTAAACGTTACAATTAAGTAGGTACTGGATGAGATGAAACTGGGACAGATGCAAGAAAAAATGCCTGTGCACCGTTGCAAGACGCTATGGCTACTGCCCCATGGTTTCAGATCACAGATCAACTGGTGACCCGGGAGAAAAAAAGCAAAGGATCGCGGTCCTGTTTTTTAGCATCGTTTTGACCTAGATAGTCACAGAACAACAGCTCTAGCACTGTTACGTTATTTTAATATCCAATCTTGAGCAACGATATTTTTTCAATAAAGTTTGCTCGAATGTTTGAATGGGCTGACGGAGCTTGGAGTCCACGCTAAGCAGTGCTTGTTGCGTAGACCCCGACCCCTGCCGTTCAATCGTGCAATTCCGGGTAACGGGAGAATTTAAATGTCAACGTTAAACGTGCCCATCAAAGCCGGACACGGCCTACCCCACTCAACTGACTTCAGCTGGCTGCGGCTGCTCCCACCAACCGCAGACCATCCCCGTCAGGAGCCCAAATATCGGGCGCCAGAGTGACTCGAACCCGGGCTCTCACTACCGGGTCCAACGCTCTACTAACAAGCTACGGGACGGACCCGTCAGAAAATTTCCAGGAACCAGTCTGGACCCATACGTGATACGGGTCCAGACTGGTTCTTTCCACCGGGTCCTCGGGTCTACATTTTACCACCTCTACTCTAGAATAGCCGTTTTCACGACGGCCATCTGGTACACATTTGGTGCACATCTGGTGCAGAGTAGGTGCAGATTTGGTCGAATTAGGTTCAGTGTGTCTCTTAGTAGCTATCAGCTAGGGTTGCACTAATTGCTTATATGCCTGCTTAGTCATATTATCAGAGAGTATCATCGATTAAAACACTGAAATAAATCATAAAAAAGATATTTGCTGTAAAAGAGATAAGGTGCAGATTTGGTCAAATTAGGTGCACTCGCCGGATAGCCCGTCGTGAAAACGGCTAATATTTCAAGTTGTTGGGGAAAAGTACTCATTGAAAGTTATGCGCTCTTACCCATAAGCGTTCGGGGACTATCGCAAATAATTGGTCGCCGCCTCAGGCGGGGAGGGAGGGGGTAGGCCGAAAAACGCTCCCCCCCCCGATTCCGTGAGGGTTAGAAAATACAAACTTATGATTAAGTCAATTAAGAATAAGACTGATGAATGTACCCATCTGTTTCAGATTGGGAAACTGTCACAGAAAGGGAAGAGATGTAGCGGGTGGGATAAGAAGATTAGTGCGGTCGAATGCCAGAGCCCATTTCCGCAACAGGCGGCTAGTCCGACGAAAAAGGAATCCATCCAACATCTGGAATGACGCTTACCTTTCTCAGAAAAGGTGGGACCCTTGGCCAAAAGCCAAACAACAAAGCCAATCAGCCGATCAGGATGCCAATAGTCTTCAACAGGAGCAAAAATCCAACGAACGATTTGCTGAAATAGCCGCTGATCTGTACAAGTTCGGTCGTTCGTACATAACTGTAGATAATGTTAATTACACGGTTACTGCGCTTCCGGCTTCCGATGGCGACTCTGATTGGCTGATAACGATTGCTAAAGACGATTATGATCCAAGGGAGAATAACAAAGCAAGTCAGGTGCTTGAAGAGCCTCGCAAACATACTAACGATGAACTGATTGGTAAGCATGCGCGGGCGTTTGAAGATGATCGGTCAAATACTGCATCCATTCTCCTAGAAAATTCGTTTGGAAGCTCCTCCTCCAGTGGTGGCGACGCGGTTGTGAATATCTCTGTTCGGTATCCAGTTCCAATGTCATCCGATCGGAGATACCGGACAGGCTCAGATATTCGTTTGCGATTTCGAAGACAGTTGCCAGGAAGGATAGCAGATCTGGGCGAAATCGATCCTCTTATAAATAAGTTCAAGCATGTCGAGCCAGTAATTCCGTCTGCTGAAAATGCATTTGGGAAAGTCATCGATAAAAGATCAGCACATTCAGAAAAAGAAATGCAGAGAATTCGCCGAGAACTAGAGGAAATAGAAGACGATGTTGCGCCATTACCAAAGATTTTGAGGAGTTCTGAAGAAGGTCCAGTTATAATCGAAGACATGTTCAATGGCAACGTGCGGACTTCAACGCTTCGTAAAAGGAGTCATTCTGTCACTGACAAAGCTAACAAGGCGGCTGTCAGTCATTTCTCAAGACCTAAGCGACATCACAAAGCGAAACACACCGAGAGATCTTCCACCAAAAATGGCTGGGCACGAGTCTTCGATAGATCTCCCAAAAGACATAAACGTAGGCTTTCTCGTGCTATGTCACAATTGATACCAAGTAAAAAGAGCCGATCAAATTTGAGCGTGAAAGCTCCGCGTAACACCTTACAGCAGCGGGTAAAGAAGAATACGGTCAGAAGATCAGCTAGACGTGGGCAAACGACTGGGAATAAAATGACAAGGAAAGTAGTGTCTAAATTTGCAAAAGACGCAAAGCGTTCGAATGAAGGTGCTCTAGGTACCGGCGCGATAGGTCCTGTCACCACAGACGCGCCAGATCCATTTGCATCTTTGAGAAACACGAAAGAACCTCACATCGATTACTACGACGTCAGCAAGCGAAACTCGTTTAAGGGTGAAGATGACGAAGAATCCGACCCCTCTTCCGATGATGATGACCCAGAAGCTTTTCTGGATGACGACGACGACGATGATGATGATAACGATAACGAAGAAATTGAAGTTGTTGAAGAATCGACGAGAAAAAAGCGTCAAACCCTGGCCGAGGAGCTGGAAGATGATGACGATCAGCAAGACATACCGTCCTGGAGAGAAACGGTTGAACTGCTGAGAAGGGCCAACACATTTGCCGTCCCTGCACACGACAGCACAGGTCATGTCATACTGGTCCGGAAAGTGCGAGACCTCGGCAGTCTGGACCTGGGAGAGTCACTCGCGAAGTTGAAGGAGACAATGGCTAAAATATTTGGCAGATGTTCCCCAGCAAGACGCCGAAAGAGGTCACATCCTTCTCCATCAGAAGTGGTCAAAGACCAACTGTCCAATGAAGAAACGTGGGAGATACAAGGCGAAGGGAACGAGGTGGTGGACCAGGCGAAAATTGATGTACACATGGATGATGACAAACCTTACAATGTGACTACCGTACTACGGCCGATGGGAAAGAGAAGCTATGAAAACGACCAAAAGACCCGTAGGGAATATGCACTGCGACAGGCCAAAGCGAGATCCGGCATATCAAGGCAGGGTCGAGAGATGAGAGACGTTCTGGAACAAAATGCTAAGTTAGATGCAATTCCTCGTCATAAAGTAGCTCAAAGAAACACAGCTGAACTGGAGTTAAGGAATGATGAACGCATCTCACGAACAAGTAGATCGAGGTACTCAAAACGGAATGACGAATACATACCTCTGAATAAAGATGTTCACATGGAGGCACAAGAGGGCGAACCTGTTGAAATAGATCTTACCGTAGACGAAGAACCTGGTGGTAGTCCGCCGGTCGCAGAGGTTCAATCAAACACACTGTCTGTGGATTCACCCCAGGCTGCAGTGACGAAGAGAGATCGTCACCAACCGTCTGCGGCAGCAAGGTCGGGACTAGCGCCAAAGACTGGCGGGCCATCCAGTCGTGTGATGTCCAGGAATCCATCGCACTCGGTCCGCGGCTCTCAGTTTGGCCCAAGGAACGACGCATTCAAAGGTGCTAACATGAATATGGTGCGGCGCGGCCCACATGCAAAGTGCATAGGCTGCAAGTCTCTGCATCAACCTGTTCCGAGCAGGGCTTTCAACAACCACAACAGCGGTAAAGCAGTGCGGGAGCCATACATCATAACGCGCAGATACAACGACTCCAAAGTTCGCCGAGCGCGGGCCGATGGCATTGCCGGCGCAGGGACTAGAGAGGCATCTGACGAGGCCAGCCTGGACAGAGCCAACCTGCTTTACCTGGCCGATGGCGACCCACTGCCCTCCAGCTGGCGAGCTCCCGTAGCCAACTCCAAGCGGGATGTGGACGTCGAGATCGAGGTGGAGGAGACGGAGAACAGCACCAGCACCACACCGCAGGATAAGACCACCACCACCACCACCACCACTACCTCCACGAAGGGTCCACCAGTTACAATCAAAGTCAAAATCGAAAAGGAAAAGGACGAAGATGTATTTAACGACAATCCAAACACCAAAAGTACAAAGATCCCGACATCTATTGAAGCGTCTGCCTCAATTACAGCGGAGAGGAGAATGCCCAGCCCTCGCCGATCGTCCTCCGTCGTCCTCGACAGCGAGGTGTTCTCTGAGACTCCGGCCAGGACCAGGGTGCTCAGCCTGTCTCCGGCGCGTCCCAGCTCCGTGCTGACGGTGGCCAGTGGCGACGGCAGGCCCTCGGTGGAGGAGACCATCACCTCCGGCGGGGGCTCGGACTCGTGGGGCGTCTCGGGCAGCTCGGACCGGCTGATGGCGCTGATCTCCAGCATAGAGAAGGCGCTGCGTGTGCCGCTGGGAGGCTCGGACGGTGCCGTCGACCAGTTCACGGTGGTTGACGACAGCAGTGACGCGGTCCAGACGACACGAGTCATCAGCAGTCAGCCAGACATCACCGAGCAGAAGACCAACTACATCTACTCTGTGAACGATCCCCAGCCACCCCTCGTTGTGGCCACTGCCACTCAAGAGAAAAAGCCAGACATGGTCAAAATGGATATCACTACCGGAACTGGTCAGGTGACTTCAAACGTGGGAGATCTAAACGAAAATATATATCTCAAAGGATTTGAGCTACCTCGAAAACCACCAAAGCCATTATTTGTAGATGGAGCCGCTAAGAAGATGATCTATGTGGAGCCCACATACAAAACTGTTGTTTCATCAGGGATTCCCAAATACAAATATCCGCTAAGCTACGCTCGGCTGTATAACGGTCCAATAACTCGCATAAGGCCAGCAGACCAATGGACACAAATAACGAACATTAAAAGCACAGACTCAGATACGGTCGAATTAGGCGATAGTAAACAAGTCACGGTTGAGAAATTTGCCGAGCAGCCATCAGGAGCGGAAATTACCGATGTTCGAGCGAGTAAGACTACGGAGCTAATCCAGCCACCCCCAACGCTGCTGGGCGTTCAGAGGAACATTGTGATGAGTGGTCAGGTGATTGACAGTCCCCCTCCCCCTCCTCCAGAAACAGACAGAGACACGACGGTAAAAGTAGTGTCCTCCGTTAGTTCAGAGGATCAAAATTCTCGTAAGAATAATCTTTTGAAGTCGTCACCAACCATTACCGTACACATGGATGGTCAGGAAGATGGAATGAATGCTGTCGGAAATAAGGGGCTGCCACCGAACATTCGGATATTTCATAATCGACGAGACTCGGACGGAAAAATAATCGCAGCCATTGGTTCACAGAGTAATATAAAGAAGAAAAAAGATCTACAAGAAATTCAAGACCTTTCTAGCATGTCAGTGGAAGATTCTAGTCTACTTGAATCAAGTGGCTTTGTGCAGTCTGCGAACAACCAGAACACTGCTCAGATGAAAGTGCACGGTAGCAAAAGGAGCGCTCCACACACATACAGGGTCCCAAATACACGCGGAGCACAGATGAAGAAACGCAAGGTCAACAGCAGAGGAGTTCCCGTGGCAACAAAACGGGCAGGCGCAGGCGCGGCGCAGCCTGCGCCGGTAGTTCACACCTATTCAAAGGACCCTGGTGTTCAAGGTGCAACAATGAATATGCTAACCGACCTGGCGTCCCAGCTGTCTACCAAAAATGCCCAGAAGCGAAAAACTCCGGCACTCTCCCGAAGGAGGGTGGCGTGTGCGGGAAGAGGGAACAACTGCCGCGAGACAAGGCAAATTAGACGAGACACGGCGCCAACGCACAATGCTGCAGATGAACATTCTAATCTGCAACTGCAATCGGAATTAGGAGACGCTCAAACGAAACACATTAGAAAACGGGATGTATCACGATCTGTTTTTGAACAGCCAAAGGTGTTCATTGTAAGTCCTAATACTATTGTAGAGGCTCCAGGTACAAAATACAAGTTTATGGACCCTTTGGAAAGAGGCAATATCACAGACAAATTGAAAGTTTACACCATCTCTGACATCGATGCAAAAACAATCAAGAAGATAACAGCTGAGAAGCTCAGCAGCAGTGATGGCTCATCAAGTGACGATGACGAAGAATATGATCACGAAATAGCAGCCAATCTACCGATGTCGCACGAAAAGGCTCTACAAGAAACCGAAGGCAAGGAACGCTTCAAAATCATGGACTCGTCTGAGGGGTTTTCCGTCCATGCTCCGTCATTTGACAAGAAAATCACAAGCGGAGGTCAGATATCAGAAGATACAATGGTGCCCATTCCAGTAGATATAAATAGAATCGACCTCCCTAAAGACGAAAATAGGCTTACAATAACAACAGATATTGAGTCCAATAAGCACAAACCTGGGCTAAAAATTAGTACGATTGAAACAGCCGACAAGAGCAGTTCCGATTCGGAACAAAAAACGAAAACAGTTGAGTACGTCGATGCTCCAGAAGAAGGTACAGCCACTGACGTAGATGCTGGTGAAGTTGTAGAGGTGATCGAGAGTCACTCTGCTCCACTGAATACGAGACAAAAGCGACGTTCCTCAAACTCTGCCGCAGGAAGTCGATCAAGCCGAGAGGACAAAATACAAACTCTCAGAACGGAACTGCAGAATTTAAACAGCATAGGCTCAAAATTGGGATTGAACTTCTTCGATAAGTCCTCTATTGACAGAATCGTGCGGGAAGTGTCAAGTGAAGGCCGGGAGGAGGAGCCTTCTCGAGTAAAGAAATTGAAAAGTGGAAGATCTGTAATAAGCCCAAAGTATAAACGTAAATTGAAAACTCACCAGTCAGTCAATCACCACGATTTAGAGAAAAGTCACATCAGAGCTGCAAGTAGAGGAAGGATAAGAGAGAAAGATATCAAAGGAGCCAGAAGATCGAGCGCCCCGTACAAAACAATCGTCAAACAAACTTTGCCTGGCCACACGGAAGCTAGAAATACTGGTAGTTATGAGTCTAAAGCAAAACAAAAACGACGCCATCATGGATCAATAAGTAGTCCCAGTCATGAAATGATCACGCATGAACGTGATGATCGCCGGGCACCATCAAAACGAACAATGCGATCTTCTGAAGACTTTGTTGAAGAAATCGACGTTGACGCCGACGATGAAAGCATAGAAGCTGCACCAAGATATCACTATAACAATAAAATACGAAACAATAGACCATTAGTCATATCTAACCCAGAAAGGTACGATCTCTCAAACAGCAGAGAAAGAGAAGAGAAGCTCAAAGTATCAAATCAGGAGAGTGAGCCACTGCACCTGACGGCCGTTCTGCGCGGACGAAGAAGACGGCGTGACATCGAGCCTGATGAACTGTTCAGGATCTCCCCACTGATAACGCGCGCAGTGCGGAGTCGGGCGGCGCCAGGAAATTCAGCGCCTGTGGGTCAGTGGCAGAGACAGGTGGCCCCGGTGTCACGCTTTCAAAGAGAAAGAGGGGAAGCAGTCCGTTCAGATTTTGATATTCCAGTGGCACAGAGTCCACTGTTTGCTGGTTCAAATCAGCAAAGGTCGAGCATTCAGGACATGTTCAACTACCCCAGAGCGGCTGCTGCTCGCCGACAGCAGCCCATTGTGCGAAACTCGCCCCAACGACTATCCAATTCTGAAATTGACAAGCGGCAACAGATAATGAGAGCGTTTTCATCTCAGAGAAACGCAGGACCACAACCTCGTCAAATAAACAGGGATTTATCTAACGTCGTGAAAAGCAGCGACGATAAGAACATGGCTGGCAATCGAAAGGGGTCTTTATTATACAACAACTTAGCCAAGAAATCAATTAGCCAAGATCCTATGAAATCGATAAGAACGGAAAGGAACGGCCCAAAAGAAGCTCCAGCCAAAGGCTCAAACGCAACAAAACAAGAAACTACTGCGCCAGCTCCCAAAACCAAGAGCCCCGATATGGGAGTGTGGAAGAAACTGGGGGAGATATTCGACATTGGGCCTAAGGAGACAGCGAGGCCGGAGCCGGAGACCACTACGCTGCCGACCTCCAGCCCGCCTCCTCCGCCTCCTGCGCCTCCTGCGCCTCCTGCGCCTCCTGCGCCTCCTCCTCCGGCCGCCAGCGCCGGCCGCGGACCCGTGGTGCTGCCGCCGCTGTTCGAAGGCCAGCCCGACGAGCGGGACGGCCCGCGAAAACCTCCCATCCCGAGTCCGCGACCCCCGGCGAGCGAGGAGCGCGCCAAGTCGGGTCTGCGCGCCGCCATTGTGGACCGTCTGCTGCAGGACCTGCGGAAGATGGCGTCAGCTCGCGGCTCCGAGATGGCGCGCGCCGAGTCGGACCTCATCGAGATCCTGCACGACTACCAGACCGACCTGATGGACGAGGACGAGAAAACCATAGCCGGCATGCCGTTCCAGGGTGAGTGACAGGCGACAGCCAGCCCCGGCATTGGCTGCGCCTTAGGCTAGGAATCCACACCATATGCAACATGCTGCCAGACATGGGGTGCTAAAAAATTGTTGTAGAAAAGTGTTAAAATAGCTTCAAAATCGCAAGTCTAACTTTCCAAATATGTATGTGATATATGGATACAAAGTCAAATGCTTACAGAATAAAATAGTAAAATAAGATAATCAGACGGTTACTGGTGGATCACTGGTGTCTAAATTCAAAATTGTTGACAATATGTCGACAATATGTCATGGTGTTTTCACCCATCGATTGAATTGTCACGCTTATCAACGGTACATATTTATTATTAACCCGCGCCCTGATGGGGGGGGGCCATTTTGGCCCCCCCCTGTGGTTTTTCTTAAATAGCGAGAAAACGGCGGCGCGCAGCGCCGCCAAATTTTGGGTACCTTGCCGGACATCAATTTGACACCTTCACACAAAATTTCAAGTCACAGGTCACCTCAGGTCAGGAGTTATTGAGGTCAAACTGATGTCATGTTCGAGTAAAAATGAGCAAAAAACATGACATCTTGAAACGCTCACCAATTCTACAGTTAACAAGCAATTTTAAAGTTCTTTATGTGGTTGTGTAGAGAAAAGACGGCGCTACAAAACTGCTATCTCGGATTTTCGAAATTTTTGGATTTTGACCCCCAAAAATCAAAAAAATTGATTTTTTTAGAAAAACTCAAGAAATTTCCAAAAAAATTTCGAATTTCGAAAAAACCGGAATATATGTGATAGTCCCTGCGCTCTTCGATATACATACCAAATTTTAGATCGATACCTCTTTTTTTGGCCAAGTTATAGCGAAAAAACTGTTAAAAATTGATGACGTCAAATTTTTGAACTCAATTTTTAGCAATTCTAGACCTCGTAGCGCAAAAAGGAGACCACCATTGAACTCCCCGTGACGAGCTGCATCGAATCGATACCCATTTTATGCAAAAATATCAACTTTGAAATTTGACCTAATTTGACCTGACCTTGACCTGACCTTGACCAAAACGTGACCTAAGCTGGCCCTAAAGTCTGTCTGACCCACATAATCGCATTTGTCATGTAAAATGGACCATAAAACATGTATCACACGACACTTTCATATTGTGACCCCCCAGTGACCTGACCTCTGTGACCTGACCTGGTATCAGTGACCTCAAATAGCAAAATATGTGTTTGAAGAACATTTCCCCATCGATGATTTTCAATGAAATGCATTTTACACGATTTTACAACGCATTTCTTGAAATGCCTGTAAACGGTGAAAATTCGACCTTTGACCTGACCTGTGACGTCATCGGTTTGACCGAGGTCAATGAAATTGGGTCACAAGGTAGTTCCCCGTTGGGGCTATCCAACACCGTTTACCGCTTGTCGCTATGTTGCGTGGTTCTCGAGATCTGAGGGGGGGGGGGCCAAAATGGCCCCCCCCCCCATCAGACCGCGTTGCTCGGCAGACCCCATCTGGGCGCGGGTTAAAGTGACCATCCCACCTTAACATTAGCTTTGAGTTGAGATAGCCAAAATGGGGTCCCTGGCTTGCACTTAACCCTATTAGTGGCAGGCTCCTGGCTACCCCCTATTAGTGGCAGGGGGGGCTGTTTACGACCCCCCCTTGATATCTCGAGATCTAACGGGCCGATTTTCAAAATTCAAATGGCATTCGATTTCGCTCAACGTGATCTACATTTCTAAAAAATAAAAATTGAAAAATGTCAATAGGGGGGGTAGAGGGGGGTAAAAACGGGCAAATTGCAGATACATTTTAGACTGTTTATCATGGCCAGGTTTCTGAACCAATCTTAACGCAACTTTTGCCGATCGATAGAGAATGAACCAGGAATTCACATGGATCCTAAAAATATGCATTTTCAAAAATCATAGGCGGATACAGATCATTGAGATTGGGGGTACACAAAAAGTATAGTAAATAAGGTTTTTGTTGGTACTCTTTCTAAAAAGGGTGGTAATGGTCTTGTTATGTTATAATTTTCTTATGAGAGAACGACTAAAATTGTATTGGTAATGCATAGGCGGTGTCAGGGCACCTATGTTGGGAGGTAAAACATAACCCCCATTTTTGGACGCCTGGATCCGCCTATTATAGCAAAAACGTGTCAAAAGAGGATGCACAATAACTGTATATAGGGTGTTCACTAAAAATTGACACAAACTTTTAATGACTGCACATCAAAAGTGAAGCAAGCTATTACGATGCAACTTAGCATGGAGATAAAAGGGACATTTTTGTATCATACCGAGCATAAAATTTCATGGGTGTAATGAAAACAGTCGCGTTGGAGGTCGTTTTAAATAAGGACCACCGAAAGCCAATTGGCACGCTTTCCCAAAATAGTTCGTCAATGGGAGAGTCTGGCACGTACAAATACCTAATGAAAGCTTAAAATGTCGAAATTAGTTACATACCGTATGGTGGGACGAAAGTTCTAGTGGGTGTGGGAGTCAGAAAATCTGAAGTGGTGCAAATGTGAAGATACTGACCAAAGGAAAGGTCGGGGCCCCGAAAATGCACGTGGAGGGGCTTTTTGGCACCTCACGATGCAATGCTGCCGATCAGTAAGGTATTAACTGTGCCTAAGCGAAGAACATATATCACACCTGAGGCTAGGATGAGTTACAACCGGCGTAAATGATTTCTCGAAGCGACTGGGAACAACATAAGGCAAGAGAAGTAAGTAAACAATGGTCAAGCAAGGGCCACAAATTGCAGAAAAAGACCGATCTATTTAAGGAAGAAAAATCATGTTTTTGTCAAAGGGCGACAATTAACTAGACAATAGAGTGTTCTGTAGTGATGTTATCAATGATACAAGAGCTAACGTCCATTTAGCATCCAAGCTAACGCTGGATGCCGTGGTACGTGTGTTATTTCAGAGCATATCATCAGTTCGACTTTATTCCTCCAGGCCGGTCCTTTACAATATGATACTTTCTGAGTCAAGTGTATTATTTAGCACTAGAGGTTCATGCAGAACAACATATGTAACCAGAAGGTGATCTTCTGGTCCGACCTCGCGCCAGCACACTAATCAAGGGGCGCCTTGGGGGCTCCTGCCGATGTAAAAATTGCATGATTGAAACAAGGCCCGATAAGCCATTCGCCACGACTGAAATTAACAAATGAGTATCTAATGTGATTTGCCGAAGGCTATTACGTATATTGGTGTCTTTAAATTTGATACAAAATATCAACTGGCTGCTCATTACCGCCATGAATTGGCCTAATTCACGGTCCACTGGTGCCAGACCTTGTGAAAACACTTACAAGAAAATGTCCAAAAAATGACCTACGGGAATCAGGCAAATCTGTTGACGCTCTACGGTTTGCAGCAGATGCAATGTGCATTACAACAATGCCCCGTTTGTTTAAATCGGTACATTTTTACCGAAGATACAGCCTGCTAAACTTTGTCTCAATTTTTAGTGAACACCCTGTATGTTATCACATGATACCTTTTATTCACTGTTCGTAAAACTGGTGCAGTATCGTGATCTTCGCCCAAATGACTCGCTTCACGAATAGGACCCCCCAATTCCCAGTGCTCTGGAGCCGCCCCTGGTAAAGTTATGAACTTGAAATTTTCAGGGAATGTGATCAATTTAGTTTTAGGAAAAGTCAGAAAATTTCAGCATCGTAGCTTCAGCGGTTTCGGAGATATTCCCGAAAAACCTGAGGGGTGGATAAAAACAACCCCCCCCCTGCCACTAATAGGGTTAACGGTTTGAGCACTCACAAGATCGAGAAACGCCTCAAATCGAGAATATCTAATTTCAAAGCTGCAGCACTTGGATTCAGAGGGGCTAATGCATTAGAATGCCCCCTTTGAATACATTTAAAAGATTTAAAATCCCTACATTTGTGCTGACGTCATACATGAATGACGTCAGCGCAGATTTGGGGGTTTTATATCTTTTACTAAAATGTTTGGTAGCACGCGGTGTTATATGCTGCTTTGCGCACAACAAATGCCGCACTTTCAAATAAAGTCGCTAGGAACAGCGGATATCCCAAAAAGAAAGCAAAAGTAAACAAAAGTAAAAGTCTAATATCTTGAAAACCGGTGAATATTTTTCGATGAAATTTGGTAGATAATCGTTTTTGCTCTATCTGAGCCGAGCGACATCACTTTCATGCCAATTCATTAACTTTTTTGAATGTGGGATGGTCCCTTTAACTTCGCGTCACGCCGCAATGTTGTGCATCAGTCGCTTTGATCCGGAGATAAGATGCACTTAAACAGTGAAAACTGAAAGATGACTAACAATAGTTTTCAGAAATTAAGTTTCTTCGCTGAATTTACTTTGGTTCAATCTGAAATACCAGAGTTACCATATATTGCAACAGATTGGCTGACCATGTGACCACCTTCCATGCTGTCCGTGCTAGCAAACATACTACGTGATGGCAAAAATATGGAGTCGAAAAGGATTCTTAGAAAGTTGTATTTCCTCTAGCTTCTCATGACGCCTTTGAACCACCTATCGACTTGCAACTTTTAGTTGCAGGGCATTTTGAAAGAATGGTTTTTTGTCGCGTTGATATTTGGTTCAATTCATGGCAAACAATGCATCTAAGTGAGTAATCTATTACTTTGTTGAATGAAAGCATAACAAAACAAGTTATTTGGCAAAGTCATCATGACAAAGCTTGCACAATGTCACGGATACAAGCCACAAGGCGTTATCCGTTTGCAGCATCCCACGTGACATAAGGAGAAGCATTGCGCATAGGCACCTAAAGTCAACCACGAATACAGTTTTTGGTCTGTTTATGAGATTTGTTCTGTCACCAGACATGTAAGCCTCCCTAAGAACTGCTATTACTTATGTGGGCACGGACGCAAATCTTATAGCATAAAACAACAATAGCTGCAACCACCGATGTTTATCTTCATACGTGATGGTGTTATTTTGCAATTAGGTATGTAGGTAGTTAGTTCATTACAATAGAAACGGTCGCCAATGTAAAATTGCATTGATTTGATAAAAACTGACCAGTCAGTCATCACGTTCTAGATGCAAACAAAACCCTATTTTATTCATGCTGTCGAGTCCGACCGGTTGATAAACATGAGCGTTAGGTTACTAATGTGCGTCGCTGGTTATTTCTTTTAGCAGAGTACCAGCGATATTTCAAAAAATGCTGGGAGAATAGATGGAAAACCCAATGGATGGGAAAACCAATAACTCCTTCCAAGTAATGCGACAGTCATGTGCCATGTAATGTTGCCTTTATTTGCTCAGTTCGGAGCACGTCACGTCCACCTGTTGTTATGTTGTACTCTCTTACCGCACGGTGGCCTTGGCTTCTCCTTCTCTTTCGGATGGTTCGGTCCAACTCCAATCTGGTTCACTGAGGTGCGAAAAAAACACTACAGTCGTTTGACGTCAATGTGCCTCTATGCGCTGCGACAGAAAAATATACCTGTCACAGCATGAACAAGATTCGGGCGTCCTAGTGAACATGTTCTTGAAAATAAGGAAGAGACCAATAGACCGTGATTTCAATCGTGGTTATAGTTGAAATTATAGGACGTTATGGTGACCGCAGCTGCCAGATTTATTTGAGGCCTCAAAGAACTGTATCGCGAAGTTTCAGCTGGAGGCAGCAAGGATTAGCTGAGGCTCGCGTGCAGGGCACTAGACAAAACCTAAGACATTAGTTGATTGCTATAAAAGCCGTGAACACAGCAGCTTAAGTGTGTATTCGCAGGCTGCATTCTAACGCATCAAAAGTCAATACAGATGGTTGCAAAAATATTTAGTTTCAAAATATTTTGTCCGTAACAAAAGATATCAAATACAGTAGCAAAATACATACAACATTTTTTCAGCAACATCTATCAATATTAGCATAATGGCATCGAGCTGACCTTAAACTCACGAACGTCAAGGTCGTGGCCACCTACACGGCGTCCCATCTCTCTCCGTCCGATCATCCGTTCCGCCCACTGACCAAAACCATGTCTTCCGGCAGGTGTTCGCATCCACGACAACGTGGCCATCCCGGTGGTGTACCAGGCGGTGCCCATCAAGCTGGAGGGTCTGTCGCAGCACAGACTCGTGGTGCGCTCCAGCGACCCCGGGCCGGCCCGTGGCCTGCACAACAGTTGGGACGACGCTCCGTACAATCCGCCGTAGACAGGAACAGTTGCAGTACCCACCATTCGTCGCGCTGTGCTGTCCGTGCCTGTCAACTGTGGTCGACTCGAATACACATGATGTATTTTGTATTGATGGTCTTTTTATGTTTAGAGAGGCAGCAGTGGCAAGGTGTGAGTGGGGAAATAGCTCTGCGAGAGAGTTTGGTTGGCTGAGATAGGCGCTTTGGTCGACTTTCTTCTTGATTTATTGCGGTGTGTTTTTCTTCGTGTGCTGATTCATGTCCTGGTTTCATTCAAATAGGAAGCACGTCGAAGAACTGCATAGCGAGTCGATGAATTGCAATAATGATGTCGCACAAGGTTGTATCGTAAATGACGCCTTCCTAAGAGCATACTCTTGTCGCCTGCCAGCTGGGAAGCTCCTTGTTTCATCCGGAAATCCGCAGGCATAGCTATCTGCTGCAGGATATCTCTCGCATCAACTGCCGTTGCCGCACGTCACAATTCACACTCGATTCAAATACAGCAGGTATAGACACAATCGCATAGCGTACCCAAAAATGGAAATGCAAAGAGTGAGGAAGTGAGTTCATCCACACCTTGCATGAAATCGAAAAAGACTTCCATTATATGACCGTAAAATACAAAGCATGATCAGTTATGTCAATAAGATGAAAAATCACCCAAATATGTTCCATTGCTTAGATGGTAATCAATTGGCAAATAGAGTGGAGATGCATATTCTAAATTTCCCCAGATACAGGAGCTAAGAAGGACATTACGATCGGATTTGTGGCTGATACTCAATGCAAAATACGTTTGCAATGTTCATTGGTCTGTGCATGTGTCTCGGTTAATGTCCGTATATGTATTTCTCGGCAGCGAACTACATGTGATAGAAGCGACACCATTAACCCAATATCTTCATGTCGTCAACTGACAAATGACAGTCGATGATAGGCATATGCCTCTTGCGGTTTCCTAGTTGACCTCTTTATCAAACCAAATCAATACCGGAAATTTATGAATAGTACTTTATGTCATAGAAATAGATACCATAATCAACTGTCACGGTGTGAAAGGCGCGAGCGGTACGCTGCACCCATTGAACTATTCTCATTGAATAATGATGTAAATAATAAACCAATTAGTACAAATCAAATATATTCAAAAAATGAATGGCGGATCTTGTCATGCAAGAATCAAGTAAATCGGTCCACAATTGGTTTGTACTTAGTAGTGGCGGAACACCTTCAATTAAGGGGGGGGGGGGGCACTGCCGACTTTTGGTTCCATTAATCTTTCCATGCAACGCCCATAGGTCTTATGTTAAAATGCCAAAATCAAAGGGGGGCACGGTGCTCCGGTGCCCTCCCCGTTCTCCGCCAATGTTTGTACTAATTGGTTTATTATTTACATCATTATCCAATCTGTCATGGATACTCAACTATTCTCATTGAATTACATGATATTTTTAGGTAGCGCACAGCTGATGATATCGGGTCCTAAGTGTGGACTGTAGTATTGTTTGTCATTCAATACCGGTGACAGACGAAGTGAGGCGGTTCAGAAATTGGGATGGGCTTGACCATAGACTACTGATTTAAATGACCATTGACTCTATGGCTTGACGTATACATTGAGCTAGTTCTGGCGCAATGGTTGCTTCATACCTTTATACTAGTCGTAAGACGTCAAACACAAAATAGTGCGCTGTTTGCCACGGCGTGTTCCAAATAATGTGAAAAGGACATACAATTCAGCAGAGCTTATTTAATTAAAAGAATCGTCGCTCAGAGTCAGGCCCCCATATGTCCATAAATGATTCCACATGTCCCAGGTGTTCATTATTTCTTGGATTTAATGCTTGTTTAATTTATGTTTTGATGAAGAGGAAGTAAGAGAGAGAGAGAGAGAGAGAGAGAGAGAGAGAGAGAGAGAGAGAGAGAGAGAGAGAGAGGAATAGAAGGAGAAAGAGAAAGAAACCAGAGAATGAAGAGACAGGAAGAAGACGAAAAGAGGAAACGAAAAACTAGTGAGATTGATAATGAAAAGATAAATGCTAATGGGAAGGCAAAATGAAGAAAATCGCAACAAGCTTTACAATATGCATTCGCATATTATTAGCATTCGCATATTACTTATCCCTCTCATGTGTGCGGCGTTTTCCAGCTTTTAATGTGTAGGGGGGGGGGGGGTCGGTTGGACACCCCTTGCCGTTTGGCCCCTGATCGAGCTAGAGCTTCGCGGAAACAACGAGCGTGTTGCCCGTGACGAGAGGAAGCCGATGATACCCAATTTTAAGGTCCTAGGTCATTGGTTGACCTTCCAGGTCAGGTCAATGACCCAAAGTCGGGAAAATCGGGACCTGTTAGAAAGTCGTAAAGTGTGGCTGCTAAGGGGTTTTTCGGGGTACTGATCACGAATATCGTGTTAGTTTTGATCACAGATGATGTCTTGAAGCATTTAGACCAGGTCGGGTCAGGTCAGGTCAGGTCAACCAGTAGGCGTCGTGACGGGTATTCGTAGTACGTGTCAACCGCCTCTGACAGCTTCGTAACATGTTACGAAGTCACCAAAACTACTTCGTAAATGTTCAAATGGTTGCTAAATTCGAATTCAGCTCCAAAAACTAGCCTAGAAACATGTAAAACTCGAAAAAGTGACCCGAGGTCACCCGAGGTCACCAAAGGTCAATGACCTGACCTGACCTTCAGGTGACCTTGACACACAACACACGGGAGTAACATCAAATCACATGTTTGAACGTTTGAAACCACGAAAAGCTTGCAAACACGCGGCTAGTGCGAGCCGACATACGCGAAATCGCGATTCCGGCCAAACATGGTCTCGGAAAAGAGGTCACAGGTCAAAGGTCATTTAGGTCAGGGTCATGAAATTTTCAGGGTAGGTGTAAAATTGATCAATGCGAGGGTACTGAAAGTTTCGTCGCGATCGGCCGCTTTTTACGCGAGTTATTCGCGAAAAACCATGGGGGGGTCCATCCGACCCCCCCCCTACACATGCGAGGGTTATATTCACATATTTTCCATGAAATCATACAGCTCGCATACAAGCCAGTAGCTCCGGACCAGAAGGGACGCTAATTCATTCGGAATATAAAGTTGGTGCCGTTGTTGATGAATTATAAATATTATATAAGCACTGGACATTGGCGGGCCAAATAATACGATAGCAGCTCGGCTGAATAAGATGTATGGCAGACTCGGTCGATGCACCTGCCTAACAATGCAGTCGATAGTTTGCCATACCATGTGCACATTGTGCAACCTGTCTAAAAATATGATCAGCCAATGTCTGTCTACATTACATCTCAATGTGTTTATCATTCCGAGAGGTTTCCGTTAGCCATCCTTCGCCCCAGTGGGGGGGGGGCATATGCTACCACCCCGTGGCGTTTTTTTGCGTGTGAATAAAAAACCGCGGTGCGTAGCGCCGCGCCGCTTGGGGTAGCTTTTAGTACATCAATTTTGGACAATGTGTGAAAGTTTTGACCCCAGGTCATGTCAGGTCAGGTCACCAGGTCAGGTTAACTGACCAAGCCTAAAAAAGTTTGCAATCATGTCCAGCCTGCAGTGTTTGTCAGAAAGGGTTTAAACTTGGTGGATTGCATGATGTTATGGGCGCCTACAATTTGTATATCTCTGATTTTTTATATCCGTGGCCTAAGGTCAGGTCAGTGGCGTGACCTTTCCATTACAAGTCATGGGAGAAAAATGAAAAGGCCTCTAGATCCGTGTGTACGCATAGGAACAGTCCAAATATTTCAGAATCACAATGATTTGGACCACCCGTGACGACCAAGGTGCCATTTTTGCTGATAGTCTCTAGAAAGGTCATCCGAGGTCATTTGAGGCTACAAACAGATTTTTGCCAATAACTCGCGATTGGAAAGAGATAGAACGCTGCGGATGGTCTCATTGTGTTTGTCTTGCTGAGACGCATCGACTCATATGCAACATGACCTTTCCCGGTCAGGTCATGATCTTGACCTGAGGTCAAATTTTCAAGTTGACCTTTCAAGGTCAAAGTATAGTTCATTCGACGCGTCTCGGCGAGAGGAACACGATTCTGGCAATAGAAATGTCGTGGCTTTTTGTAGTCGAAAGTTATTGTCGAAAACACTTTTCGTAAAAACAGCTATTTTTGGAGTTTTTGCCCTCTGGAGGCTAAACCGTTGTTTTGATTATGACCTTATCGAAAGAAGAGTTCAAAAGCTATCGGATGCTCTTCCATACGCTTTTCTAGCTACCATAGTTCCTGAGATAACGGCATGTTTTCTGAAAAACATAATGACCATTGGCAAATTTTGACCTTTGATGACCTCTGGTGACCTCAAATTGCTCTAAGATGAAAAATGACTCAAGTACTTTCAAACGTACGCATTAAGAGCTATCGACTGCTTTTTACCACGTCTTTCTAGCCCTCTTAGTTTTGAGTTAGAGGTGGGTGGTAACATATGCCCCCCCCCCCACACACACACACTAGGGCGAAGTTGGCGGAGACCGCTACTGGGGCGCGGGTTAATATCCCAAAACTACTCGAGGTATGCCATTCAATCTGTACTGATAATTATCCATCTGTCCATTTGAAATAACCAGGGGATCCGATATAGCTGCTCCTCGGGTAAGGTTAGGGATTCACCTTCACCTAATTGTCCTATACGTGCTGTGCTACCATTTTCTAAGAAAATTGCAACTGTCGCTGATACCAGATCGAAGTTTCATCACCCACCTGTGACTGTTCACTTGGAGAAGATGTCAAGTGAGGCAATATTGGTGCGTTTCAATGTTCACGGTCACAATGTTATGACAGCGGGCTATACCAGCAGTCGTGAATTAAATAAGATTGGACGTCCTGCCCTAAACTGGTTTCTGATGATTTAAAGGATAAAGTAGAGAAGCATTACCAATGTTTCCGGAATACCTATTACAGCGATTATAGTCAGATAGCAAACCTGCCAGCTGTTCGGCTAAAATACTTTTACTACCGTAAACCGGGGTGAGTTGATATGGATTTTGAGGTTTTTCTAGATTTCTTTAAAAGCCACCTTCATTTACGGAATTCTTTTTGTGCCAGTTTCATGGCACATGCCTTGGTGAGGTCATCA